TTTCCATCGCCCATTTTAGATTAGTATTATCCGCATGTTCTCGCGTGATTAAAACACGTAGTAAACGGACGTGTCTCATTTAAAGTACTTAAAAAGGGCTGAGATAAACTAAGAGGGCAATCGAGGCTAAATAACCCTTCGCATTTTCTCAATGGGGCCAGGGAAAATGTCAAGGTAACATTTTTAACTGTCGATATTTCCTCACTCCAAAAAAAAAAAGAAATGGGTTAAGAAATAAAATTCCTCGAAAGCAGAATTTTCATTTCTTGAACTTTGACATTTGCGGGGGCAGAAAAAAAATTGTGTCGGATATTATATTCCTTGAATTCATATTTACAGAATAACTGGAAATTAATTTTTATATTATACTTTAGAATTGAGAATCTCATTAAAAAGTATTCACAATATAGTCTCTAGTTATTAAAACGCTTGCAACTTTAGATTAATTTATGCTTGCAGTAGATATCCTCGAAGGATAAAATCAAGGAGAAACTCGATCATGAGTGGGAATTGGCACGTGGAATGAGAATCCTTTCTCTATCATAAATTACACGTGCCATTTTTTAAAGCACGTGTCCTTTTTCTTGCACATCTGTATCATTCTTCTTTTTTTTTAATGCTGAGGCAAATCTCAGTAGTCTGTGTGCAAAACTAAATGCTTTGCTAATCAAATATTTTTAAAATAACTTTATTCATGTTGAGCACGTGTCTCTTTTGTAATGAAAAATATTTATATTTTTTTCCCCTTCTTTTGTACTTTTATCTTTTGTTTCCTAATTCTTGAATTCTTGAATCCTTGAATTTTTCAAATTGTGAAAATTATGAAATTTATAAAAATTTTTATTTTAATATTGATGAGTTTGATGATGTTTGATCAAAAATTGATGATTTAAAAGAAGTGCAAAAACTAGAATTTTAAATATTAATAACTTAGTTTCTTAATTGGCCAATTATATATGTAAATTGAAATATGTGACATAATGAATAACAAAAGATAAGAAGGGGAATTCTGTTAATTTATTCAAAAGTTACGTAAAACGGATGTTGCTATTTAAAAATCTCGAAACACTAAGTAAGAGAGATGACGTTTCTTGATGACGAATCGTCCACGCATTTTTTTCAAAATAAAATCTGCAGTGCAGGTGTTGTATATAGAAGTTCGATATTAAATATTGAAGATGATTTTCTTTTCTTTTTATAACACGCACATGTGAGCGATAGGATGACTAAAAAAAAAGAAGAAGAGAAAAAAAAAACGTCATTATCTTATGCTTTACGGTTCAATTGCATTAATGAACTCGAATGCAGCAATCTCAGTAATATTTAATATTTCAAAGGTTAATTAAAATATAATTATCAATAGTGGAGAAAAAATAAGTATCAGTACTAATTATTCCTTATTCAAGTTCAATTATTTAGTTGGGAGTATATCATTATATTATACACTGATGTTATGAAATCATTTTCATTCTCGCACGTTCTTTTTTTAAATTGCATTTATTTAAAAATTGCCTATATAGCTGAAATTTTTTATTTCAAATTATACATTTAGGGGAAAAACTTATTTCCTTAAAAAAAATATTCAACGGGAATTAAAACATTTTAAATGATTTCAATGTAAAGCATTTTTGAAAAAATATTACTAAAAATTACAAATTATTCTTATAAAATTCAATCATTTTTGTTTGTTGAAATTTTTAAATAAAATTCTTCAAAACTTTAATTATTTTAATAAATTTAAATATTATTAGTTTCACAACAATGAAAATTTTCAAAGTTTTAAATTAAAAAAATCTTGTGAAATTTAATTATTTCTTTGAAAATTCTCACTATGAAATTCAATTTTAAATCAATTCTTATTCGAAAGTTCTATTCGGGAATTTAATTATTTAAATACAGAAAATTGGAATAATTGAATATTTCTTAAAATTTATTGAATTCTTATAAATTATTATTTAAATACTGAAATTTTTTGGAATAATTGAATATTTCTTAAAATTTATTTTTTTTAATTTATTGAATTCTTATAAAGAGCTTCATAAAAAATTTTAAAATAATTGAATTCTTTTGAAGGATTTTTATTATTATAAAATATTATTTTATTTATAAAATTTTTAAGAATAATTGCATTTTTTGAACAATTTTATAGCTTATGAAAATAATTGAATTCTTGCGCCAAAATTTTATTTAAAAATTTATTTTAATAATTCGAGCAAATCTTTAAAAACTGTACAATTAATAAAATAATTAATAATTGAATTTTTTGACGAATTTCATTAAAAATTTTAAAAAATAATTGAATTCTTACGAAAAGAATATTCTGGATCACTCTAAAAATTATTCAAATAAATTATTATTATTTTTATGTAAAAAATTTTATTGTTTACCAAGAATTCTTTTGCAGAATTACTTAAAAAAATTTGGGAAATTTGAAAACGAATTTTATTATACTATTGAATAATTGAATATTTTTTAAAATTAAATTCTTTCGTCGAGTTTTTAGTAAAATTTTTAAGAATAATTGCATTTTTCGAGGAATTTATTTAAACAAAATTTTAAATAATTTTAAAAAATTTATTTAAAAATATTTGAAATTCTAAGATGAAAATAATAAAATTTCTAAGAGAAATTTTATTATTTATGAAAATAATTGAATTCTTCACGAGATATTCGTTAAAATTATTGAAAATAATTGAATTTCTACAAAGAATTTCATTATTTTTGAAAATAATTGAATTCTTGTGATGAATATTGTTATTTATAAAAATAATTGAAATTTTGCAAAGAATTTTATTTTAATTTTTGAAAATAATTGAATTTTTGGTGAAAATTTTTTCTATTTATTAAAAAAGATAATTCAATTCTTCACGAGAAATTCAATACAATTGTAGAAAATAATTGAATTTCTACGAAGAATTTTTTTATTTTTGAAAATAATTGAATTCTCGTGATGAATATTATTGTTCATGCGAAAATAATTGAATTTCCCCAAGAATTTTAGTAAAATTCCTAAAAATAATTGAATTTCAGTGAAGAATAAAATTTTTATAGTTAAAATTTCGAAAAAATTCAGCTAAATAAAAATTCTATTTGACAAAAGTGAAATTTTGTCTCTCGAATTGCAAACATGTATTCCCCCCCTCTCTCCACCCAAATATATTAATGAATCACCTCAATATAAATAGTAGAGTTTATATAAAATATTGTTCATTAAAAATTAAACTAAAAGTAACTCAGAACTATTCAGAAGCGATTGGAGGACGTCTGGTTTTGTTTCAACACATACGTGTACTGCCTTGGCAAACTGCGTTCCACTTTTACTTTCTCTGAAAGAAAGCTTCTTACATATATATAATACCAAATATATAACACGTCATTGTTATAACGAATTTGTGAATTTACTCTCATTTTCGTAATATATATTTTTTAAGAAAAAAAAAAAAAAAAAAATTGCTAAAAAAATTTTTTTCTCAAAAAAATTCGAGTTCTTTTTTTTTTAATAATATTACAGCTCGTTTTGAAAAGACATCCGGAAAAAGAAGCTTGTCTCTTTGCCTAAAGACAGGGCCAAGTTCAACATTTCAGAAGGTCGTTGACCGTGAGCCAAATTTGCATTTTGTTATCCCTGGAATCCGACCCAGAGATTCTTTTTGAGAATCATTTTCTATCCGTGATTGATCTACATATATTAATTTTTTTTGAGAATTTTTATTTAAAGCAAATTTTTATCAGAATTTAATTTTGCAGAATTGAAATTTAATTTATTTAAATTTAGCCGAATTTATTAAATTTAATTTATTTTGATTCAGTCGAATTGGAATTTAATTTATTTGAATTTAGCCGAACATATTGAATTTAATTTATTTTTATTCAGTCGAATTGGAATTTAATTTATTTGAATTTAGCCGAATTTCTTGAATTTAATTTATTTTTATTCAGTCGAATTGGAATTTTATTTTAAATTAGCAAAAATAGAATTTAATTTCTTTAAATTTAGCCGAATTGGAATTTAATTTATTCGAATTCAACTGAATTTGAATTATATTTCTTTAAATTTATCTCAATTAGAATTTAATTTAATTTCACTTTAGTCGAATTTTCGAAATAATTTTCTCTAATTCCAGGAAGTTTTCATTTATTATAAAAAAAATTTTGCAAAAAATAATTGAATTCAGCCGAATTAGGATTTAATTTATTTTAATTTTCGGAAATGCGGAAATTGAAAATTTTGAAAATAAATGAATTTTAAAAAATTATGCTAAAAAAATTATTATTATTTTGTATACTAAAAAAACTTCTTTAAAAATATTTTAATAATTTTAATATATAATCTTTTGAAGCGAATTTTCATTAACTCCAATTTTTAAAAATGGAATTTTCCATTTGAAAATTTTTGAGTAAAATATTTTTAGCTTTAAAAATAATTCAATTATTCTCAAAATTCGCAATTAAAAAATTTCAAAATTGTTAATAAAACACTTTTAATAAAATCAATTATTTTCAATAAATTTTTACAAAATTTCCATGTTATTTGTGAACTTTTTTATTATATATTTCAAAAATTTATCTGGAAAATAATTATTTAACACTGAAAAAAATTTGATTCAAATAAACGGTTACTTTTCTATTACTGAAAAATAATTATTTACTTATAATAAATAATTATTTACTTAATCAAATATTTTTTATTTAAATCAATTAAATTGTATTTGCATCAAAATAATTTCCATTTTTTTTACACAAAAAAATGGAATTTCCTTGCAATATTTGGAAGAAAAATCGAAAAAATCGCACGTTTTGGAAAATTACCAGAAAAAGTGCAAAAAGTCCAAAAAATTACATGAAATAAAGAAATGTATTTAATTTCTCATTTAAAAAAATGTATTTCCCCGGATGTTTTATCAGCGAATTATTAAAGAAAGTGTTAGAGAAGGGGAAGGGATCTGATAGATGAGCAGAAGAAGTCTGAAATTGACAGTTGGCTTCTCTTTCTGTTTCAGTTATCAATTGTCACGCAAACATGTCGGTTACATCTGTTCAATCCGCTAATGAAAGTCTTTCTCGTCATGGGTAAGCTTCAAATTTTCTACGCTCTCATATTTTTTTTTTTTTAATAAATCCCCTTTTTTTAAATAATTTTCCAAAAAAATTTTTTTTAATTATTTTGTAAATTTCCAATATAAAGCAAAAAAATTTTTCTTAAAAAATGTTTTTTGTATGTTTTCTCCTTTTGAGCAATATTTAAAATTTATTTATTTATAAACAATTTTTTTACCGCAAAACGCCAATGATTTGCGTTAAGAATTTATTGAAAAATGACACAGATAAGTTATATTGTGATGGAATGCATAATATTTGCAACAGTGACGTCAAATTTTAATAAAGACGTCAAGAATTTTTCAATACTCATTTAAATTTTCTATTGATTGAAAAGTGTATAAAATTACCTCTCGTAGTAATTTTCATTGTATTTTTTTTCTCCAGAGAAATAGTTCCAGAAAAGAAAGAAAATTGTGAATAAAAATTAAAAGGACTTGAAATAATAATTTTGAATAAAAACATTTTTGAAAAAATTGTGACTGAAAATTTAAAGAACAAGAATAAAAATTCGAAGCGAGCTTTTTGAATAAAAATTTAAAGAAATTGAACAACTTTTTGAAAACTTTTTTTTTTTCATAAAAAACTTGTGAACAGAAATTTGAAGAACTTTTTAAATATAATTTCGAAGGACACAAAAAAAATTCAAGAAGCTTACGGAAAATTTTTATTCCTTAAAAAAATGTTACTAGCTTACACTAATATTGTAAAAAAGTATTATTAAAATCTCGAGAACTTTTATTCTTAAGAAAAAAAAAATTCCCACAGTTAATAAACTTTTATAATCGCACGAGGAATTAGCAGCGGATTAATGACATTCACTTTTACCACATTATTAATTTTTTTTCCAGAGCAACTTCTAAAAGTTATTCAATAATTTTTTTTTCCTTCATAAACCACAACTTTATGAACTTCAAAGACACACGTGTATGATAAAAGTAAAATACAATAAAAAATAATGTACAATTTCCTCTTTTATTTACTTATCGAAAAAATTTTAAACTCGCTTTTATTTAAAGGCACGTGTAAAATTTCGTGATTATATTAGGAGAGAAAATTTTATAAGTTAGTTATCAATTTTAAAATAGAAAAAAAACGTGGAGAAAAAATCATTGACAAATTTTAAAAGGAAATAATAAATAAATAAATAAATAAATAATAATAAATGAAAATAAAATAAGAAGGAAAAATTATGTAATATATTGGAAAACAATAGAGAAATGTTTAAAAACTTTGGTAATTGTTTCTTCTTTTTTATCGCAATTTATTTTTATATTTATTTTGTTTTCTTTATTTTATATATTTTTGTTACGAAATGTAATTATCATATTATATAATAAATTATTATAAAAATATTAATAACAATATTATTTATAAATGGAGAATTTAAATTCGAATTTGTTGAAATTATTAATATTATTAAACAAATTAATTAATAAATCAATCAAATATTATTTTAAAAAATTACATTCTCTATAGTTTTATTATTATTATTATTTTTAGAAAAATTTAATGATTATATAAAAAATTTTTTTTGCTTTCAAAAATGAAAAAAAAAATTTATGCTCGCAACTTCATTATAGTTTAATGACACTGTCTCGCGGAATTATTTTAATTATCATCTAAATCATGTGATGGAAAAAATTATAATTTTTTTGTTTTAAAAAAGAAAAGAAACGTTATCTACTGCTTGAATAATTATATTGACAGAGGTCATCTTCTCTCGGAAACGTTAGGAACACGTGCCTCTTTAACATATTGAGACTTTCAAGGAGATAAAATTATTTATATACATATATGTATATAAAACCCTATTCGTGGAAAATTTAATTACTTAGGATTTTATTTAAATTTAATAAGAATTATGTAGAGAAAAAAATTTTATTTTTACTTTAATAAATTTTTATTTAAAACAAAAAAAAATAATTTCGTTTGATAACTATACTTTTATTTGATTCAAATAAATTATATTTGGTTTAAATAAAAAATTTCTCTGGATGATTTCTTTATTGTAATTAAATTTCTTTCCTGTATTTATAATTTATTTGCTTTATTTAATTTTTTTAAAAAAATTTATTAACAAAATTTATTAATTAATATAACATTAATTTATTTATTGTTTAATTTATTTAATTATAAATATTTAAAGTTTGTACCTATTCACGTCAATAAAATAAAAAAATGAAATGTTTGGAAATTGCAGTTCATTGGAATGAAACATATAACATACACTTGAAAAATTAAATTGCACATTCAATGAATAATCATGTACAATATATATATATACATGCAAGGAGAAAAAAAAATCTTATTACGTTTTATTCATGTTATCATCGCGTGAGAGAAACTTATGATTTTTACCGCTTCTCTTTTATACTTTCAATATTATGAACTTTAATACTGTTTCAAGTTCAAGGTTTAATTTAAACAAAAAGGAAAGAAAAAATTTTGTCTTTTCCTCCAATATAATTTATTGATAATTATTCCCCTCGACAATTATAATGAAAAAAAAGAGAAAAATTATTGTAATTTAAAACAGTAAATTTAAAAAAATAATTTTTCACAAAAAAAAGAAAAATATGAATAATTTAGTATTTAAAATATAAAAACTACATATTATATAATTTAAAAAGACTGCATTTTCCAAATTTAAATATTTTTATCTGTCTCGAGTTTCTTAAAAAAAAAAAAAAAAAGAATGAGAATTTACAAATTATTAAAATTACATTTTTATTTATTCATGTCTCTTGTCATTAAATTAATACTGATCACGCGTTTTTTGTCAGTTTCACGTGATTTTCAAATGTTCGTGAATTTAAAGAACTTGGGTGGAAATTCTTTTCTGATATTTCGAATAAATTGGAAAGTTTTTCTTATTTGAATTTATTTTAAGTATTCAATTAATAATTATTTGTTTAATTAATAAATATAATCAGTAAATATATTTATTAATTGTATTTAATAATTATATTTAATAATTATGTTTACTAAAAAATATAATTAATATTTATAATTATTGAATGTAATTATTAAATATAATTGTATTTTTTGTATTTATTAATTTTATTTAATATTATAATTGTATTCATTTAATTAATAAATATTGTCATAAATTTTAATGAATAATAATAAAGTTAATAATATTAAATAATTATTTGATTTCAGGAGCAATGTGTCCTTATCGTGTCACAGTTTGTGTGGAAGCAACGACGAAAGTTTGTCGGAATCGCATCCACAATATCAGGATACAATTCTCACGATTGAGGAACTTCGAGCCCAACTGAATTCTTGTTTTACGTAAGTAAATTTTTTTTAAACATTGAAATTTTATTTTTAAATTTCTTGATTTCATTTTAATAATTAAAAATAATAATTATAATATTTTCTTGTCAAAAATTAAAATACTATCTTTCAGAATAAAAATCATTGATTTCGTTTCTCTTGATATAAAAGAAAGTTTAAACTATAATACTGAAATTGCTCCCAACGTCATTCAAAGTCAATAAATCATAAAAAAAAAATTCTCATATACGCAACATCATGTAACAATGAAGAAAAAAAAATTGCAAAGTCGAGTCATTGATATAATACTCGGCAAATATACAAAAGTTGAATTTCTTGTAATACATAAAATATTGCACATTCTTAAAGAATTTTTTTTTCCTTTCTTTTTTTTTACAAAAAATATATTAAAAAAAAATTCAGATGGCATTCTTTTTTCTCTCTCTGTCATTGAAATTAACATTTCATAAGAGAAAAAATTCTTTTAAAAAATTAACATATTTCTGTAATTCATTTGAGGAAAATCAATCAGAGAAAAAGTCGCAAGAGCGAAAGTAACTAGAAATCAGTTATTTCGACATTTTAATAATAATTAATTAATAATTCTTAGTGAGAATTGTTTTTTTTTTAATTTGAGCTCAAAGTTAATAATAGAAAAATTAACAAATAAATACTTCTTTTGATCTGAATATAGTAAATTATTTTATTATCAAATTAGATTAATAATAATAATTTAATTAATAATAAATTATTGATAAATAATTAATAATTCATAAAATTAATAAATAAATTATTAATAAAAAATGAGGTTTGTTAATTAATTTCTTTAAATTATTTTCCACTATAATAGAAATTTCACTCAGCCAAAAGAAATTTAAAGAGAAATTAATAAATTAAATTTATTAATTAATTTCTTAAGATTATTTTTAACTTCATAGAAATTTCAATCAGTCAAAAGAAATTTGAGGAGAAATTAATAAATTAAGTTTATTAATTAATTTCTATTATTTTTTACTATTTATAGAAATTTCAAACAGCCAAAAGAAATTTAAGGACAAAATAATCGATTTTTCCCCTTCAATCAATTGTTATAAATTTTGCAATAATTTTTTTGTTCTCTAATATCAATAAAACAGCAAAAAAAAAAAAAAAAAAGATTTATGCTCCAGAAAGTGAGTGTCCCAGATCGCGAAATATGTATTGAGATCTATATAAACATGAATGTGAACAGATGAATTGCACAATTCAAACCCACACGAGACAGGACAATAGAATCCGGTGAGATCCAGAGCGAGACAATTGAAACTAGTATTTTCGTTGTTAAAGATTTAACTTTAATTTTAACCAATTTGAAGAGAGAGAGAAAAAAGAATTTAAAATCCAATGAATCAGAAATTAAATAATTATTCACTTTTCATTTTAAATTATAATCACTGGAAAATGGGAGCAATTTTTATTTTTTTTTTTTTTATCGAGAAAGATAAATCTTATTTAACGATTAAAGTATATTACGTACTTGAAATTCTCTGGAAACAATAAAAACGAATTTCAATTTGAAAATGAAATGAAAAAATTGTGGAAAATTTTTCAATTGTCGGGAAATAATTTTTGAAGAAAAAGGAACGTTATTAAATTGTAGATTGAACCTTGAGTTTATGTAGGCGCATTATATAAAATATTGTTTATTTATTTATAGGTGCGGTGTCTCGTGGAGTGAAGATCATGTTTCTCTGGATTGTAGCGAATGTGGTGGCTACTCACTTCAAAGACCGTGTCCAATGTGTGATGGACATTGCCATTCGACGTGGAAACGTGACCTTACTATGGTAAGGGTCGACATATTTATTCTTTGACCTTTAGAAGCCGATCGAATGGTTTGGCACGCGAAATAATTTCAGTCTACATACATATACGAAAGCTAAATTAAATATATGGTGATCACAGTATTGCAAGGTTGCCACAGGTCAGGAAATTCAGGAAAAACTTAGGAAAAGTACACTGAAAAAAATTTATTTGATTCAAATAACCGATTAATTGACTATTATCAATTAAATATTTAATTGAATCAAATAATATTTATTGGAGTCAATTAAAATAATGATTCTGTTCATATTTTCTTCAAATACTGAAATTATTGGTTCAAACTTCAAATACCATTTAATTGAATCCAATAAATATTATTTGAATCAAGAAAATATTTAATTGAATCCAATAAATATTATTTGAATCAAGAAAATATTTAATGGAATCCAATAAATATTATTTGAATCAAGAAAATATTTAATTGAATTCAATAAATATTATTTGATTCAAGTAAATATTTAATTGATAATAGTCAATTAATCGGTTATTTGAATCAATTAAATTTTTTTTCAGTGTAGAATTGGTCAGGGAAATTAGGGAAAAGTCAGGGATTTTTATAAAAAGTACTGGACAAAATTAAATTTTTAGAATTCATAGGAAAATTCTGAATTTTTCTGTCTTTTTTGTTTGTCTCAATAAATTTAGGAAATTATCACGAATTCTAATACAAAACCCCCAATTTTTTCTATTTCTGACAATAATTTCTTTTTAAATAACTTAATTCTTGGAGAATTATTATAAAATTATTACTTATAAATCATTTAATGAATAATTTTACTTAAACATTTAAAAATTAATTGTATAATGGAAGAATTTTAGTTAAAAACAATAAAAAAAAATTATTTTGAAGAAGTTACAAATGATTGCAAAAATTCAATTATATTTTCAAAAATTTTCCTCAATTCAACGATTTTTATTATCTGCTGTTTTAATAAAAGTTTCCAAAAGAATTCAATTATTTAAAAAAAAATTTTTAAATGCTACGCAAACATTTCATATAAATAATAAAAATTTTACAGGAATTCAATTATTTACAAATGTTTTTTATAAATTTCTTCGCTATAAATTCAATTATTCTCTTAAAAATCAATTTTTTTACACAAATTCAATTATTTTTATAATAATAATAAATTTCTTTTTAGAAATTCAATTTTCATAAAAAATAAAACTCATAGTAGAATTTCAATTATTTTTAATACAATTTTAATCAAATTACTCAAAAAATGAAGAATTCTTAAAAATTATATTAAAAATCGTACAAAGAATTCAATTACTTAAAAATTTGTTGATAAAATTCTTTATGAGAATTGAATTTCAAGAGACATTCAACTGTTCAATAAATTATTTATTTTTGTATTTAAATAATTAAATTCTTGTTGAATTTTCTAATAAAAATTGATCTAAAAATGAATTTCGGTCAAAGTTTTAGACAATAATTGAATATGAAAATTATTATAGCGTGAATTTTTAGAAATAATTGAAGTTTGAAAAGGTTTCAAATTAAAATCTTTGAAAATTGAAATTTTTCATACTTTTAACTAAAAAATTCTGTAGAATTAATTTTTTTGAAAAAGTTTCTTCCAATTTATATAATTAAATATTTATTTTAAATAAAATGATTACTGTTTTAATTAATTCGCCATTTTTTTTTCAATTTTTTGAAAATTTTTGCGAAATGTTCAAAAATAATGGTGCGTTTCTTATTTAATAAAATTAAAATGATTGATGTATTAATTTTTAGAGTTAATCACAGAATATTCTTTAGGTTCAGGGAAAAAGTCAAAATTTCCTCTGGAAATCCGGGAAAAAGAAAATTAAATTTTTGTGGCAACCCTGTTACTATCTAACTTTGAACTCCTATTTTTCTCGTCAAGATTTTTTCAAGAAAAAAAAATTTTTAAAAATTAAAATTAAATTAATTAAATTAATTAAATTAAAATTGAATAATTAAATTAATTAATTCAAATTAAAATCAATTTCTTTTCTCTTCAACTATTTTTTCCTGAAAATACTAACAAATTGTCTCCCTCTCTTTATTTACAGTCTCACGCAAGAGCAAAAGCAATTTGGATTGGAGAATGTGGACTGAGCTGTGGTCCATCTCTAGACGAATCTCTTGTTCCTGCTTTGGAAAAACTTCGAGCAACATCGTGAACACGTATTCAAAACGACATCACAACTGTGCACAAGACTTAACCATCACCAGCCATTTAGAGTTATCATTCATCAAGAGAAAAAAAAAATCCACCATCGAATGAATTCGAGACGACTGAATGAAGATTCTTGAAAAATGTGTGTGTGTGTTTGAGAGAGAGAGAGAAATATTTTGAACGAATGACAAGGAGGAATAAGCGACGTGATGATCCAACTCACAATTTATAGGAAAACTGAACTTGAGGATCAGCGTAAATAAAATCCTTTCTTTAGCACCTAAGCAAAATTATTTCTGAAACAAAAAATAAGATCATCGAAAAAAAGGCCAAATGAGCTATGCGAGTTCCTTTTTCACTTTCATCAACTCCCTTGTATATTATCATCATTATAGAAAAAAGAAAACACAAAGCTTCCTCTCGAGGAGGCAAAATTGAATTAATTAATTTCTATACGCAAAAAAAATATGGATGTCTAAAAATCGGAGTAAAAATGTTAGCAAAATATTGCTTTTTAACTAAATGTCTATAATATTAATTGAATTAATTGAATTAAGTGAATATTAATTTAATTAATTAATTAATTAATGTAACAAATTAAAAACTGAAGTTCAATGTTAAAACAAATTAGGAACCCACATAGCAGTAAAAGAAGCTTATCGCCTACTATAAACGAATTTCATCCTCCCTATTAATTAATCTAAACGTGAGAATAAAAACGTGTCAAATACAGAAATCAATTAAATTATAAACCGATCGAAATGTCTTAAAATTTAGAATTAAAAATTTATGGTGATAAGTAACTTTTGATTTGAAATTCAAAAATCTTTTTAGACATTCTATTCTTGAGTGCGAATAAGAAATAAAAAAATGGAAAGAACGTTAAGACTGCCTTTAAATTGTTTTTGTTCGGGTGTTGCTTCTCTTTAGTAAAAAAAAATTACTGTAAGTAACTCTGGTTTAAGAAAAAAATTAGCCAATTTCTCAAAAATTTGTGGAAAGCGAAAAACCAGGGTCTACTTGCAAAAAAAAATTAGTCTCGTTACGTTTTGAATTTTTCTTTATACACAAAAGACAGAATTTCCTTTCGATTATTTTGGAAATTTTTGCGAAATGTTCAAAAAAGTAATGGTACGTTTCTAATTTAATAAAATTAGTTAAGATAAATAAATAATTATTACGCTAATTTGTACATAAAATTAGTGTAAATACTCGTGATGTATTAAAAAAGAAAAAGCGGACAAAAACAGGTCGTATCCAAAGATTATGTTATCACAAATAAAAAAGCTCAACTAATTCTCTATTTAAAAAATATTCAAGACTTGAAAAAACAGAAACAAATCCATATTTTTTCCTACAGAAAAGAATAATTGAAAATATATTTTATACAACTGCGATTGAAACAAAAAAGAAATGTAAAAAAATTTTTTCAGGATACGTCTTGTATGTCCGGTATGGAAAAAAAATTAAGATTGAAAAAGAATAGATAAAAACTGTCTTTAGCAACAACGATTATGTGAAATAAATTTTTGCTCATTGGAAAATGAAAATAGCATTTATGACTGTGGCAAAATAATGACTGTTATGAATATTATCATTATTATATCATTTTGCTATCATTGTAATTTCATCCCCATTTTTTCTTAAGTTAATATTATCGAAAGAAAATGCATTAGAAAATTTTCAAAAGTATTACATTATAATAGTAATGCATTGGAAAATCTCAATTATTATGTAATTTTTATTTAAAGTTCAAAATTATTATTTATGTTCTTAATGTTGAAAGATATGGGCTTAATAAACGATATACTTATCAAATAGCGACAGAATTTTGATTTTTTCTTCATTTTCTAACCATTTTTCTATCCTTAGTACAAAAAAAAAGTTCCTATTCAAATTAATTTTTAAATTTTTTATTCCAAAAAGAAATTGAATTAAATTGCAAACTATTTTTTAAATTCGAGGCCAGAACTCAAAATCCTTAAGAATTTTGAAATACTACTATTTCAATAAAATATTTTATAAGTAGTGGTAACACGGAAGGAATTATTAAATATAAAATAAATTTTTACCTTATAAACAAAACGACTCACCGGTCGATGAATCCCACGTTGGTGCCACTCCATCGCACTTTTCCCTGAAGATTGGAATTATTTTGAATAATAAATCACTATGTAAATCTTCCACACACACACACACTCACTTTTAATCCTTTCTATCGAATTCACTTATCCCCACAATTTCCAAAAGTGAATTGCAAATATTTCACTTTTTTAGCAATCATTTTCAAGAACAGCATCTGAAAAAAAAGAAAAATGTAAACACAAATTAAAAAAAATTTATTTTGCTAATAAAAAATATGATAAATAATAAATTTGTAATAATGACAATTATCTAATAATTTAAAACAAGAAAAAAAATTCCTCCGACAGAAACATATTTTATGTACATTTAATTCTGGTGTCTTGTCTATGTACGAATTGCTCAACCAGTCAGCTAGTAGTGGGACTAAATTTCGAGGTTAAGCAAAGTACAACACAATGGTTTGGTATATTTTCGTTGTGGTATACTTCAACCAACAATCACACAGTGATGATCAAAAATAGCCCGAGATCAAAATTTTTTAAGGACTGATCGTTCTGATCAGAACTTATTTGATCTGTGACTAGCTATGTCATAGTTACTCTGAGTGTGATTATTTTTTACACTCATTCGGAGTAGGCAAAATATTACAAATTTATTATTTATATTTAAAATTTTTATTTAATATTTTCCTACTTATTATTTAACTAATTTTCCTAATTATTATTTATATTTTACTGTATATATTATATATTTGAAAATAAAATAACTATAAAATAAAAAATTGTTCATTTTCAATATTTTTTCTTTTATTTAATTTTTCAAATGGAAAAATTATTTCCAAAAAGGAAAAAAGAAGGATTATAACAAGATTTGTCTAATTTGTAAATTCTATATGTTCTATATCGAAAAAAGCACAAAAAGTTGGAAAATAAATATGAATATTCGGCCTTTGTTATGAATACATTTTGAGGTTATGTTCGTATATTATTGTCAAAACCGAAAAATAAGTATTAATAATTAGCAGAATCGACAATATTCCCATATGCGAATATCAATTGCGGGTAAAAAATGTACAAATAATATTAAAAGGAAAGGAAAATATTACCTATTCCTTGTGGAAGATGCACTAGGTGACCTGCCCAATGCCGGTCGCGCCATTTTTGCTACTAGCCAGTATACAACTCCATGGCAAATTAGCAACTGTGGCAACTGCTTTTTTTAATATTCACATGGTTGATATTGCACAAACAATAAAGTAGAAACAAATCCCAAGGAAAACATTAGAATATTTAGTAATAAAACAAAAACGATTTCCCATTTCTCCGAAAAATGAAAATAGTACAGCACGTACAGATTCTAAGAAGACACTGTCCCCGGTTTTTCCATGTTTACCAACTTTCCCCTTCGTAATTCACTTTGGCACATGAATATTTTTCAATAATACACTCAATACCCTTTTGATAACTATTATTTTCATAAACAATCGTTATTAATTCGCGTAAAACTGATTTTTTTTCACTAAACTAATCACCATTGTCGCGCGAAAATACTGCCGTTTTCCGTTACACTGAATTTCCCAGAAATCTGTGGGGCACAAGTGGGAGGATAGAAGAAATGCTCTGATTGGCTACTAGGTGAATTTTCATTTTTGCAAATTCAAATTTACCACTTTTGTTAAAAAAACGATTTTTAATTATTTAATTACAGTATACTTACCAATTCCTTTTGGTATTATAACAAAAATAACTTATTTTTATCATTAATTAAGTAATATTGAATTTGTAATTGATTTTAATTGAGAAAAAAACAATATAAAAGCACAGTTTTAAATGGCGCCGGAAAATTTTATGTTATCACATTTCTGATTGGCTGTCTGCAGCAAAGTGCTCCTTTTTCACCGAATCACAACGCACCTTCTATTGAAATAGATTTTTCTACAATTGTTGCTCTTTTAACGGTTATTAATTATTAATTGTTGATCTCATTCCATTTCCAAACGGTTTTTTTCGGAAAAAAAATTGTTACGGAATTGTTAATATTATTTAGTGTTAACCGAACCGGGCAAAGTTATTTATTTAAACAGTGTGATATTAACTGATTATTTATATAAAATAGTGAATTATATTTGTTTTCCTGTAAGTAAAATTAAACAATCGAGAGGAAGCGGAAACGAAAAGTTCCACACATTAATTATTGAGGTAATTATTGATAAATTTACACGATTTACACTATTGTACTAAATGATATTATTTGAAAAGTTTGATTTATTACTTATCTCAATTGTTATTGTTATAAATAAAAAGATTTTTGCACTTTCCAAATATTTACAGTATTGTCAACATAACCTCAAAAATTTAGTTGCTAACGATAAAATGGATAAAATTAATCAAATTAATTAATTAAAAATGTTCTAAATTTATAAAAACCTAATTGGCAACTATTTTTTCAGTCTCTGTGAAAACTTCGACGTGGAAGTCAAGAATTCAAAATTTGTAAGTCCTTTTAATTCACGAATTTTTCCTCTAATTTCGCTTCCCCAAGTAAGTAAAAAAAAATTAATTAAAATACACAAAGAAAACATAAAATTTTCATGAATAAATATTTATTCGCACATTATTGGCCTACATTATTCGGAATATACACGTTCAATTAACAGTCAGTAAAAGGTGTAAAAACATAGCAAACACTTAATGTCCAATACTTTCCGAGTTAATTTACATGTAGTCACTGGAGTTCTGGACATAAGCTTACAACGATGTTAAACACACACGCTGCTCCCAAGCTCATACAAAAAATTTGTTGTTTTTCCGATTTTATAAAAAAAAAATCGTTCGTATCGTAGTTTCATTTTTTTTTATATTTTAGTCACGCCAATATAATTACATTTTTATTTTAGGCGGACAAAAATTGATTAAATAAACCAGTATAATTAAAACTGTACTTTCAATTAACTAAAAGCGCGTTAAAAATTAAAAACCTAGCAATTATTTTTATTTTTCAAAATTTGTTTGCCTGGGCAGCGAATTTTTTTTTTATTAATTGGGAATCTGAGTCTTTTTCAACACTGCGGATTATGTCAATGTCTTCAGAAGAAACAAATAAACTTCATGATTCTGATGAATTTAAAAACCAAGTAAAAAAAAAATTTTCATTCAAAAAATAAATCCTCTAAATTGAGTCTTTTTAATTTAAATTGACATTATGCAAAATCAAAAATCAGATTCACGTGTATATTTGTAAAGTTTCAAAGTTCTACGTGTGTACAAACATTTCTGAACTACATTGGTATAATTTCTCGGCTTTTATTTTTTGGGAACACGACGCGGATGTGCGAAATGTTTTTTTTTTCGTGTGTACATTTATAGCTACAGAATTGTTCCTATCCCAGATGAAGAAATACAAGATTTACAATCCACTCGGAAGCATCGACTTAGATACTACGATCAAGATTTTTTTAAATTTACACAAAAGTCGATGAAGAGAAAAAAATTTATAAAAAAAAACACGTAAATTTTTCTTTCTAAACAATTTCAAATTGTGACTACTAGTTAATTAAAAAAAATGTTAAGGAACATTTTTCAGTCTTTTTTCTTAAAGAAAAAAAAGATTGAACAATTATTTTTGAAGTGAAAAAATTTAAACTTTGTGTAAAATGATCGAGATTTATTTTTATTGATCAAGTCGACGCTTTCGACGTTACATTTCCAAATGAGAATGTTCCGTCCCGCGAGAACAGCATTATTATAAAAAAAAATAACATAAATTAAAGACTTGACACACGTAAATTAATAAAATGTGTGTGTACGTTTACAAAAACAATTGGCCTTAATGTGACAGCGATTTTGATATTTTTATCTCTCTATTTTATTTCTTATTTAAAAACCAAGACTAATTTTTTATAACGCGACGATTTCAAATTTAAAGCGTCTTTGTCTTTCAAAAATAAATAATATTGTGTAAAAAAAAGAACCGAACAAAATCCATTGGTGTTTTTTCTCTTGAAAAAAATGGGCCAGGAGTTAGAAGGGTGAATTTAATTAAAATATTTCGGTTTTGTGATTCCGGTCTTTATTTCCAAAAAATACCTTCCTGGACCGTCATTAAAAATGCCTGTAAATACAAAATAAGAGACTTTAAAATTGTTTTCCAAATACGATTAAATTTATCATCAAGAAAAAAAAAAAGTTTTTGAATAATAAATAAGAGAGATACAAATATCATTGAATTTTTTTTTTCACGTGTTTAATCGAGTCAGAGTTTTTGTGGAAATGGAAGAGCGGATAGAAAAAAAAGAGAAATAACTTAATAAAATTTGCAAAAATTTATAATAAACCTACTAATTGGAGTAATATTCTCCTTCGACAACGTTTATGATTGAAATATCCTCTCCAATATCCAACTAAACCTCTGCTTAGACAAACGTGTCGCAATCTTGGTAATAAAAGTATCGAAAAAAAATAATCGAGCGTCGATCGCGAATTCAAGTATACAATAAGCGCATCTTCCGCTGTCATGGATCGAATCCAAAACGGAAGTACGGGGCTTTTTAGAATTATTCGAAAAATAAAGAAATTCGTCAAAATGAAAAAAAAGGATTGCGAGGAGAGAGTAAAATTACAATCTCCTGAACCCATATTGGAAACGCTGCAAAAGGCAGCCGCGAAGGGCCGCGCTTTTCAAACGTTTTTATAACGCCGTCGGGATTGTAGCCAGTGTTAAAGAATTATTAATAATAAGAATTAATATTAATAACTATATAATATGAATGTTGTATTTTTTTTTTTTTTTGTTTAAAGATATTATATCGATGGTATTAATTAGCAGTGTTCGTCGTTTTGTTGTTTGAACAACAAGGCAAATCACTGTTTCGTTATTTCCTATTATAAGAAACGAAAGTGAGAATCCGTGAAATTTTCTCAGATCGCGTTACACGAGCGATATGAATCACCGATTCACTCTCTATATACTCACACACCATGAGAGATCAGCTGAGAGCTTCTTTTTTTTTAGTCACTTACTGTTTTAATATTCTTTTTTTTGTAATACAAATGGCCTTTAAATTGTCGGCGGTCGATTTAGATCAAGTCGGCGACATTCATTGGCATTTCCTCGATGCGCGTATTGTAGAAATGTTCGATGTCTTTTAACGTTCTCTTGTCATCTGCCGTGACAAAATTGATGGCCACACCTTTACGGCCGAAACGACCACCACGTCCAATTCTGAAATCAATTTATCGAATTTTAGTCCTTTTTCTACTTTTTACTACTTTTTCGAATTTAGTTCTATTTTTCTAGTTTCAATTTTTTTAATTGAATAAATTTTGTAAATTTGGTGAATTTTTTCGAAACTTACCGATGAATGTAGTTTTCTCGATTTGAAGGAAGATCATAATTAATGACCAATGAAACTTGTTGCACGTCAATACCACGAGCCAAAAGATCAGTGGTAATTAAAACTCGCGATGAGCCTGTTCTGAATTGTCTCATAATCACATCACGTTCACGTTGCTCCATATCGCCGTGCATTGCTGACACGGTAAAATCACGATTGTGCATATTTTCGGTAAGCCAATCGACCTTGCGACGCGTATTGCAGAAAATTACGGCCTGCGTAATGCTCAACGTATCGTACAAATCGCACAATGTCTCCAATTTCCAATCTTCACGTTCAACGTAAACGAAAAATTGCTTGATACCCTCAAGTGTCAATTCTTCCTTCTTCACAAGAATACTAATTGGACGTCTCATAAAGCATTTCGACACTTCCAATACATCCTGTGGCATTGTAGCAGACAACAAAATAACCTGTAAAAAAATAATTAGTTTCGTTAATTACTCCATAGACCTAAATTAATAATTAATTAATTACTCTACAGACTTATCCGTTAATTACTCCATAGACTTTAATTAGTCCCTTAATTACTCCATAGACTTAAATTAATTAATGAATTCGAAATCGAATAAATTAACGCAAAATCTTTATTTTACGTTAATTAACATAATTTTCCCAAATTCTTGTTGTATTCGAAATCGAATAAATTATTCGATTTCGAATACAACGAGAATTTTGGTGAAATTTTTCACAAAACTTTGTCTCGTAAAAAGAATTTATAATTTTAATTAATCATTTTTTTTTGTACCTGCACTTCGGATGGCAATAATTTAAACACTTCATGAATTTGTTCCTTAAATCCACGTGACAACATTTCGTCAGCTTCATCGAGAACGAATAGCTTAATTTTATTAGCGCGCAAAGCCCGTCTGTTAATCATGTCGGAAACCCTTCCGGGTGTTCCCACAACAACATGGACACCGAGTTCCAATTTGCGAATGTCTTCGCGAACATTCGTTCCTCCGATACATGCATGGCATTGAACATGCATAAAGTCACCAAGAGCAATCACCACTTTCTGAATCTAAATTTAAAAAAAAACAGAAACAATTAATAATTAATACAATAAACAATTTATTTAAATTAAAATTTTTCTCTACCTAAGGCTTCGAACTCGATAATTAATTTTAAAAAAGTAGAAACTAGAAAAAAGTAGTGAAAAAGTAGCTTTCGAAAAATTAAATTTGGACAATTTTTTTTAAATAAAAAACTACAATGACTTTTATTATTTATTAAAATAATTGAATTCTTGTAAAAATTGTACTATTTATGAAAATAATTTAATTCTTCTGGAAATTCTTTATTTAAAATAGTAGATCTTCGAGAAATTCGATTAAAATTGTATTAAAAATAGTTGAAATTCTGTGACGAGTTTTGTTATTCATTAAAATAATTGAATTCATTAAGAAGAATTTTATAAAAAAAAAGTTTAAATAATTGAATTCTTGTGAGAATTGTACTATTTTTAAAAATATTTGCATTCTTCTGGAAATCTTTTATTAAAATTGTAGATTTTCGAGAAATTCGATTAAAATTGTATTAAAAATAGTTGAAATTCTGTGACGAGTTTTGTTATTCATTAAAATAATTGAATTCATTAAGAAGAATTTTATAAAAAAAAAGTTTAAATAATTGAATTCTTGTGAGAATTGTACTATTTTTAAAAATATTTGCATTCTTCTGGAAATATTTTATTAAAATAGCAGATTTTCGAGAAATTCGATTAAAATTGTATTAATAATAATTTAAATTTTGTGATGAGTTTTGTTATTTATGAAAATAATTGAATTCATTGAGAAGAATTTTATAAAAAAAAATGTTTAAATAATTGAATTCTTGTGAGAATTGTACTATTTTTAAAAATATTTGCATTCTTCTGGGAAATTTTTTATTGAAATAGTAGTTATTGAAAATAATTGAATTTTGCAAATTTTTTGAAAATAATTGAATCGTTTCAAAGAATTTTATTGTTTTTCGTAAAATTCGTTAAAAAATTTTATTAAAAATAATTGCATTTTTTAAGTAATTTATTTTAAATTGTATGAAAACTTATTGAAATCCTGCGATGAGTTTTATTATTTTAACGAAAATAATTGAATTGTTTCAAAAAATTTTACTAAAATTTTTTCAATTATTTTCAACTAATTGAGATTGTTTCTTAAACATTCAAATGTTTTGAGAATATTTTTTTTTCAACTATTAGCGAATTTCAAGAAGTGTAAATTCTCAAAAAGAAAAAAATTGCTTTTAATCAAATAAATCTAAAGAAAAGTATCTAAATAGTAGCAAATCGTAAAAAAGTAGTAAAAAGTAGTAGGTTTTAGTAGATGAGTACGAAGCCTGCAAAAATTGATAAAATCCTAAAAATAGAAACTAATAAACTAAAAGTAAATTTCAATTTATAAACCGTAAATATGAAACAATTATTTAAATAGTTTAAATTATTTAACTTTAAATAGAACTAATGAGAATTTTAATTAAAAGAAAAAAAATTTAAATGGTTACCTGCTGAGCAAGCTCACGAGTTGGAGCAAGAATCAAGGCTTGACACTCAGTAACACTGGTATCGATTTGTTGCAGAATTGAAATGGAAAAAGTAGCAGTCTTGCCAGTTCCTGAAATTTAAAATAGTTTTTCGAATTAATTAAAATTCGAATAAATTTACGTTTCTTTTTTTCTTTTTTAAAAAAAAAAAATTTCTTTTTGAAAATTTAAAATTTACCTGATTGAGCTTGAGCAATTACATCGTGTCCCTTGACGCAGGGCAAGATGGCTCGCTGTTGAATTGCCGAAGGCTTCTCAAAACCATAAGCATAAATACCACGAAGGAGTTCTTCCTTCAAGCTCATATCGTCGAAATTATCGACAACCTAAACGGAAATAGAAAATCCAATTTAGAAATTTATTTTGACAATTTAATCCGAAAATCGAAAAAAATTTTATTTTACTTGAAATTTAGAGAATTAAAACCGAAACAATCGGGGGAGTAACTTATTGGTTATTTAATTTATTAGATGATTATAAATTAAAATAATTAAATTGAAATTAAAAATAAATAAAATTTAAAAACAAATAGAAATAAAGATCAAAAACAAAATAAAATCAATATAAAAAACAAACTAATTAGATTTTATTAAAATGGAATTTAATGAAAATTTTTGGAAACTAAATTTTTAAATTAATTAAATCTAGAATAATTTCTAAATTAAAAATGTTAAAAAAAAAAAATTACAAAATTGGTGAAAATGATCGAAATAGGGGATAACATTGAAAATTGAAAAAAGGTGACAATCTGAGCTCTGAAAATCAATTTAAAAGTACTTTTTAAAAATTCAATGATGGAAAGAAAATGTATTTTTAATAACCTGAAAAAGGGTTATTCATTATATATTTCTAAATAAAATTTTAACAATCGAAGAATCAAAGAAAATCTCTAAAATATACAAAAGAGGTATATGGGCGTTAATCCCCTGAAACAATAGTAAGACTTCTAAGTCACTTTACACAAAAGTGAACATGTATTCGAGCTATTTGGAAAAGTTTCGAAACTATGCTCAGGTAAATGGCAAGCAATTACCTGTCTGTCCTACAATTAAACTCAAAGTACTGTACTTGGAATTACAGTAATCCTTCAAGGAAACTGAACATCCGAACTAAATCACGATTGTTCCTCAAAGATAAAGTCAAATTTTCCCTTTTATTCAAAATTTTTATTTTCATTCAAAATTATTTTATTTCCTCAAGATAATTTTATTTACGAATAAATTTTATTTTCGAACAAACTTCAAATCTTAAACCACCTTTAAATTTTAAATGTAAAGTATTTTTTTCAGTATTCTGTTTTTTTAAATTAATAATTAATAAGGGCGATGGATTTTCTTTTATTTTAATTTGTAAATTTAAAATACTCTTTTTTTCAATCTAAATAAATCTAAATGTTAAACTTAGCGAACAATTTAAATTCTTTTTAAATTAATTAAATTAATAATTAATAATGGCGATGAATTTTTTTTTGTATTTTAATTTGTAAATTTAAAATACTCTTTTTTTCAATCTAAATAATCAAAAATGTTAAACTTAGCGAACAATTTAAAACAAATAATAGTAAATTAAATATAATCTAAATCAAGATTGTTTGACACTTGAATTTATCAGTAGACACTCACTTGTCAAGGAAACATTCCTCTAAATTTAACACACAAGTTTAAACAATTCAAGGCTCTAGAAGAAAAACATTGTTTATAAAATTTATTTAAAAAAAAAATAATTGCAAAAACAACTTACGATATCCCAATTGGAATCGATGATTCCCTCCGGTTCCATTCCCGGAGGTCCATCGTAGACCGGTTGTTCATTCGATTCACTCGGGCCATTATTAGAATCGCCACCCCATTGGTCTTCGTTTCTGCAACATTTATGAAAATCGATTACAAATTACGCCCCCAAAACGCTCCAGTTATGGACAGAATTAAAATAATTATTAAAAAGGTCAAAAAATTAAATTTGCGATAATGTACGTTTCGTGTCAGGAAAATGTCAGAAATATTGAAAATGTCTTCAAATTATTAAAATTTACTAAATTACTGAATTAATTAATTAAATTTGATATTAAGTAAAACAATCGTTTGCGTTGCAATTAAAAATTAAAAAAGACTCGAGTTTAGAAAAAGAATATTTTCGTATTTTTGAAATTAAATTAAAGCTGCATTTGAAAATAAAATATTTCCTACAGGAAGGAACTATTAACTTTGATGCTATCTCGTCAAAAATCGTTACCTACTGTAATTTTTATTCAAATATAACTCAAAATGTTTCCAACACTTCCACCGGAGGAGTAAATAAAAATTTCCTTTTATTCAAAACTAACGAAAATACAATTTCTTCCGAATGTTTATCTAATTCTTCGTCTTCCCCAACGGAAAATTATTATTATTACACGAAATTCTAATATTTACAAATTATCCGTTCTCTACCAAAACCCAAACACTTATAACCTGAGCAAAAGTGAAAATTTATTTCAAAAAAAAATTTGTTATTTTTATTTAAATATATTAAAATATTATAATAGTAAAAGAAACGAATTATTTATAAAAAAAATTATGAAGAGAAACGAAGATCTCTTTTCAAAAAAGAGGAAAATTTACTAATGACGAGTCAATTTTGACAAACTCGGTGTTTGTGATGACGCACAAACAAAAACGACACTGAAAATTTCTCTCACAAAAAAAAAAAATCAGGAAAAAAGGAAAAAAAGTAAAGGAAAAGTTTTCTTCCTAGCACAAAGTTTCGATTCACTAAAAATATTTCTCTGATTCGCACAAATGAAACGTATGACAAAGAACATTCTCCTTCTTTCAAGCACAAGATTATAAATTCCACACTTGAAATCCTTCGAAAAACGAGGAAAAACTTCAGAACGCTATGAGGAAAACCGAGTACAGTTATTTTATTCCGAAAAAAACACTTTCAAAACTTTTATTATTACCCCTTATCTTCTGAAGTGGATGACATTGAAGTTGGAAAGACGAAAAAAATATATCCAACCAAATAAAGTTATAAATGTGTTAATGAGTGGTCGAGGTTCACTCGATTGACAGTGACTCACGAGAGAGCATGGCCGTGAGGGTGTTAAACACACGCCGTTTTCTCAAAATCCCTCAAAGTGGGGAAATAAAATTTTTAGGGTGGGGAAAAAAGCACACAATGAACACCACCAGGAAATTCCAACGATATACTCAAGAGGTCAAATAAATTTCTCTCGTTTTAAAATGCACACAAAAATATTACGTAATTTTCTTTGCAAAAAAAAAAAAGAAGAAGAAAAACGAAAAGAAAAAGAGAAGCGAAACTCTTGTGAATTGCTCAAGGTAAAATGATTGGGGGCAGTGGAAAAACGGAGTAGAACTAGCACGTGTTACAAACGGAAAAGTCAAAAGAATTCCGTGATTGAAAGATAAAAATTGAAATTTTTTCTTGATATTTGAAAATTAAAGGTTTGCAGAGAGGGGGTAAGAATTTTCTTGGAAAATTTGGTAAATTCTTTTTTCCAATTGGAAAAAAATAATGGTAGATGTGACAAAAAAGAGCGAGAGAGCACGCCATGTTGTCAGCAAGAGAACCATGCAGTCGTCAGATGCCGAATGATTTTTCCTGAAAAATGTCATGCACCAGATGGAGTTGGAAAATTTTAATGGAACACACTGAACGATAAACGATTAGGCATACCTTGGATGGATTGTTTTTGGTATTTTTTGAAAAGGAACACTTTTAAAAATTCGAACTTACCTACGTTCAGGCGTATACGACATGTTCCACTCACAGTTGCACGGCGGAAAGGCTGATATCCTGGTGCGTCACGAGGAGAATTATGTAGTTGTCGTCAGATAGCGCTAAAATCGCACCTTCTGGCCGCCTTTAATTTCTTTGGTTTGGGAAAAATTTTCTATTCTTCCGAATTTAAGGTTAATTTTTAAAGTTTATTTTTTAATATTCACTTTTGTTTTTGTGAGAAATTTGCAAATTTTCCCAAAATTTAGTGAGTTTTAGAAGAAATTTTCACTTTCGATTGAGAGGAAGTTACGTCAATAGTACCCAAGATTCAATGGGAAAGATGAATAAGAGGCGGTAAAATTTGACGGAATTTTAGGAGAAAAATTATTTTACCAATTGGAATTGGACAATTATTCAATTATTTTACAAATTATTTCTTTTTTCCATTAAAATAAGGTAATTGTTTTTGACTTCTTGGTTAGTTTTGACTAATTCTTTTTGACATCTTTGGTAAAACGATTTGAGGTTAAATTGCACTTGGTAATTTATTACACTTTTTAATTTATTTATTTTTACTCCTCGTTTTCTTTGATTTATATTTTTAATAAATATTTTCGGTTCTGCAAATGGTGCGCACTGAAAGAAAAAATATTTTAGAATAATGATTTTTTTTAGAAAATAAATTTTTTTTACCTTGAATGATTTTATTAAAAAATACTTTTTTAAAAATTACTTTACTACTTTCAGTTACTAAAAATACTTTTTTTAGTAAACGATTAAAAGCAGCGAAAAACAATAATTTTTTGTTTATTACAAAAGGTCCAGAACGATAAAATTCTTTTATTCTTGCTTGTCATTTTTTCAAATGTAAACAAATTCTCTCTTTTGTTTTTAAGCTTAATAACTATTTTTGTAAAAATTTGTTTTTCGAACAATTATTTATGAAAATATTCGAATTATTTTAAAGAATTTTATTACAAAAGATTCTTTCAAAGAATTTCTTTAAATTTCGAAAAATTGAAAATTTTTATGAAGAATTTTAATTTTTAATCTGAAATTATTCATAGATTAAAGTCGATGACAACGATTATAAATTTCCCTGCATTTTTGCTCTGAGTGAAAAAATTGAAAAATAGAAAATTAAATTACTTTATTTTGAAAATAAAAAATTCATTTACAAATTCTGATATATATGTATATATTATTATTATATATAAATTCACAGCAACATTAAGGGGGGCATTTTTATATTTTTTAAACAAATGCACAACTGAGTATTAAAAATAATACTGCAACGGGAAAAATAATATAAACACCCATTCTTGGAACACATGTTGAAACTAATAGTGAAATATCGTCCATTTCATGATCGATTCCATCTTTTGTTGGAACCTCGACAATAACACGTTCCGATGTTAATATTGGAAGTGGAAATTCACATTCCGTTTTATTAATACACGCTAATGTTACATTCTCGTATTGTAATGTTGGTTTATAAATATCAAAAACAGCATGAATATCGTTCGATACTTTATCGTTGTCACTGTAAAATATGTAATAATAATAACCAGGTTCAACGACATCGTGTCTCGATTGCATATGTTTCCCATTAATTAAATACGAAACATCGAGACAATTTTCCGATTCATTAAATTCTTGCGCCAAAAGAACTTGTCCACCGTAACATGTGAATAAACCATTTTCAAAACTCGAAATCGATGAATCGTCATCGATTATTTTTTTCGCCGCATTCCCACCGTGTCTTATTCCTTGATCCAATAATTTTGGTGGATCAACTGGTTCTTGATGTCGTTTTTGTCTTGAATTTAAAAATTTCCTCTCATCATTATCCTCCTTTGCTGTGTCTGGAATTTCTTCGAGGAATTCGGCTTTTAGTAAATTTATTCTCTTTTCATTTGTCTTTGATTGAATTGTCGAATTTTCGGTATTATTTATTTCAGTTTGATTTTTCCTTTTATTGTAATTCAATAATTTCTTTGATATTCTTTTGGAATTTTTTGTAATGTTTACTTTGAGTGATTCTTCGGGAATTAAATTTTTCTCTGTGGAATTTTTCTCATTAATCTCGATGCGATTTTTCATTTCTTTCGAATGTATTTCCTGTGCGTTTGATTCAAATGTTATTTTCACTTGTTGATCGGCTTCTGGTAGATAAATTCCAGTTGCTCGTGCTTTATTTTTATTGTGATCTAATAATCCGCAGGTTTTTAGATTTCTTTCACCCTTGACAACGAGTATTGATGCTCCTTCAAATCTTGAGAGAGAAAAAATTTATCATTACAGAAAGATTTCTTGTAAAACTGAGGAAATAATGTGGTAATAATATTTTGTTTACCTCGAGCAAACTGATAAGGCAACTGTAGCTCCTTTTAAGAGATAAAAGCCCCAATATTCCAGTGTATCATCAGGAAGTGTCATACTTTTTTTCAAACGTATATGCTTTCTGTAAGAAGTTGTTTCCGGTCTTCGGGAAACTTGAAACGAATTGAATGTTTCGTTCATCTTCAATTTGTGTGCCTGAAAAAAATTAATATTCATTTCTTTTCTGTCCTTTTTTTCATCTTAAATTTTCTCTATTTTTTGAAAACGAAAACGAAAACGACATTAGAAACAAAATAAACAAAATAATTACCGAGCAAAATATCGATGAAACTCCATCCTTTATTTCTAAAATGTCCGATTCCGTTACGGCGTAAGTAACATCAGCGTAGACAACATGTCGTAAATATAATGGAAGAATTAGCAGCAAAGTTGGTAAAACAGTTGTTAGAATGCAAAAAATTATCACTCTCCTAATCCCATGCATTTTGTCTGCAAAATAATTCAATATTTTAATTAAATTTCAAAAGAGAAATTGGAAGTAAAATAAATTAAAATAGAAGTAGAAACTAAAAGTAAAAACTAAAAATAACAAAAATTATTGTTTCTTACTTTTTTTGTAATTTACTCTCCTTTTTTTATAAAACAATTGTTTATAAAAATTTTCAAATCTACAAAAATCTATTTATATATCATAAAAGTTGAAAGACATTTTTTTTTGGAGTTGAATCCAAGAAAATTTATCGAAAAGAAATTTTTTGTTCCTCTGACCTAAATATTTTTCTAAATTTGTCAATTTCCCATTGAATAAAATATATCGACGATATATTCATATTATATTATAATTTAATGGAAAATTCGTATAATTATTAATTTTCAAACACTTGAACTGAATGAACTTTTTCCACATTTTTTGAATATATTTAAAAATACACTTATTTTATTACTTGAAGAAAGAAATTATTCACTATTGACAAATATAAAAATATTTTGATTGCGTTTGTAGTTTTTCTCTAAAAAACAGTGTAGACTAGGTTATAAAAAGATAAAGTAGATCCTGAATTTCTCGAAATCTCATTGGATAAAATTGTATACGATTTAATTATTGACATACTCCATTTTGAGATTTATCTTAATACTATAATTGTCATTAGAAAAATAAATATTCCAAGAATCCAAGATTATTACATATGAATTCTTTAATTTTTACCATTTTTACAATTATTTACAATTATTGTCAAGGAAAATTGAATAATAAAAAAATAGGTTCAAAGTTCTCGTTTCAAACGCATGCGTTCCCTTTACAATATTAAAGCGCTTAGTTTTGAAAAATTTTCGAAGAAAAAAATCCCTTTCAATTAATTTCAATTTACAAATTGTTGTCGTTGACAATTTTTGTTTCAATTTTCAATATTTTATTCTCTTTTCTTAAAATTCGAGCAATTGAAAGATTGAAAAATTGAAAATAAATAAAGTTAATAATTGAAATAATTAAATAAAAAAGATAAAAATATAAATAATATAGTAATAAATTTGTAATAAAAATCATTTCTTAATGATAGTATCTAATATAAAATTCGAAATGCAGTTTAGTGCATTATATGAATTAGATTAAGAGAATAATTCTTATCAATGACGTCAGGAGATAAAGTATAAAACCTAATTTAAATCTTTCTTAAATTGTCTTTTGTTATATTTGTGTTTTAATATCATTATTTTTATATGTGAACTAATTTTTAAATTAGTTAATAATAATTCATTTAAAAATTTTAATTTAAATGCGGAATTTACTTCTTTTTTAAATTTCTTTCAGTGGAGATTTTTTTTAGTAATTAAATTAAATTGTGGAAAGTTTCTTCTAACCTGGATAATTCTATTTTTAGGACACTGTGATTGTTTGTTATGTACATAGATTATTTTTCTGAATCACTTATATTTCTTAATTAAATATTATGTTTTAATTTTTAATATTATTTTGCAAATAGAAAACTTTTTTTCCAGAGAAATTCTTCTCGAAAAAGAAAAATTATTTTCCAAACAGAAAAATATCTTTCCAAAGATAGAAATTCTTTTCGAAAAAGAAAAATTATTTTCCAAACAGAAAAATTCCTTTCCAAACACAGAAATTCTTCTGGAAAAAGAAAAATTCTAAGTTTTTGGACTTTTTTAATAAAAATTCTTTTTTTACTTTTTAAAAAAAAATAAAAATACTTGAAATACTTACTATGCAAAGTATTCATGGAGTGGTATTTGTAGGAGTGATAATATCCCACATTGCTAACAATTTCCTTTTTTGTTGCATACATTTTTCTTTATTTACTTCTTCACAGCCACTCGGAATTAAAAACAAATTTCTTTCTGAACTGCAATGAGCAGCATTTTCATTTATTGAAAAAATTATTGATCGCTGAACAATTATTTATTGCTGAACTATATTGATTCATAATTGTCTTGAACTTCGAATGATTCAAATATATCTCATTATTCACATCAAAAATTCCCTTTTTTCAAAACTGAGATTAGGCCGTTTTTTTGTTAATCAATTTCACAAATAGAACTCTTTTGAGTTCTTATCACTATCGTAAAACTTATTTTTTTCTATTCATTATCACATATTGTTTCATTTATTTAAATTTGTTTCTGATATTAATGATTAGTGGAGTTTTCTTGAATGATAAGATTAAAATGATTTGATTTCATTGATGAAATTTGGTGTTAAAAATAATTTTGATTTTGTGTTCTAATTTTTCTCTGTCATTCAGTGGTAACTCGTGAACACATTCTGTTTGAGGCTGTAGAAATCGTTTCATGAGTGTCGATATGACAATGGAAGAGTGTAAATACTTCTTTCTCAATCGTGTTATTAACCTTATCAGCACTTCATTCTATACTCGTTTAGAAAAATTTATCTCTTAATATTATGACTCTGAAAATAAAGTCATTTTTTTATGTATTTCATTGGAAATATAAAAAAAAATTTAGTTTTCTGTGGAGATTTTTCGTGTTTTAATTATGATAGAATAAATTTACCTCAGTAGTGTTTTTTTCGTGATTTTGTAATTGAATTAATAGTTCTTATCGGAAAATAAATGCATTAACTTTCTGCGATAACGACCTTTCCTGTTGATTTGTAATAACCACTATCGTCTACACTAAATTGTGATAAATGAATTATAGACAAATCAACTTTTCCAAAATTAGTCTCCTTGTGGGCCTGAAAATTCAGTGAATTTTGAAAAATTTTAATTATTATCAATAATTATTACAGGGTTGCCACAAAAATTAAATTTTGTTTTTCCCTGACTTTTGCCTGATTTCCAGATAAAATTTTAAATTTTTCCCTGACCCTGAAGAATATTCTGATTCACTCCACTACAATGCTTTTAATATTCAATTATTATCTATAAAAAGTTTTAAATGAAATTCATTTTTAAATCAATTTTTATTAGAAAATTTTACGAAAATTCAATTATTTAAATACAAAAATAAATAATTGAATTCTTTCGGCGAATTTAAATAAAAATTTTAAGAAAAAAAATGCAATTTTCTATCATTTTATTTCAAATTGTATAAAAAATAATTGAAATTCTGCGATAATTTTCGTTATTTATGAAAATTTTTATTAGAAAATTTTACGAGAATTCAATTATTTAAATACAAAAATAAATAATTGAATATTTCTTAAATTTGAATTTTTATAAAGAATTTTACAAACATTTTTAACAAATAATTGTATTCCTAGGAAAAATGTTATATTTTACGAAAATAATTGTATTCTATGATCAATTTTATTAAAATTTTTCAAATTCATAAAGCATTTAATCAAAACATTTTAAAATAATTGATCTCCATAAAAAATGTATTATTTGAGAAAATAATTGAATTCCAAAGAAGAATTCTATTAAAAATAATTGAATTGTAGAGGAAAATTTTATTTTAATTGCAATTTTATTAACTAAATCTTGTAAAAAAATTTGTTTCTCAGAACTTTCGAGAAACTTTATTAAAAAATTTAAAATAATTGAAATCTGTCGAAGAATTTTATTAAATTTTTTTTCCAATAATTAAATTCCTGTGAAAAATGTTATTTTTGAAAAAAATTGAATTCTTTTAGAAAATTTTATTAAAAAGTAAATATTAAATATAAGTGAAATGATGAAAAGTTTTGAAAATAATTGAATTTCTGTAATCAGTTGTTCTTAAAATTTCTAATTAAATTCATTAAAAATCGAAATTTTCTAAAATTTCAAATTGAAACCTTTTGAAGTTCATCTATTTATGACAATTGAAAACGTAATTAAAAAAAGACACAAAAATTCAGAATTTTCTTATAAATTCTAAGAATTTAATTTTTTTTTAGTATTTTTAATAAAAATCCTTGACTTCCTTGACCTGTGGCAACTCTGTATTAATTATATTGCATGTTTAAAATATAAAATTAATAGATTGTTTTTAAATAGGAAATTTACCTCAATTATATTCGTTGCATCAAAGGTTTCGCGTTTTACTCTGCCACTCTTCTTTCTTTTTCTCTCTTTTAATTTCGCAAAGAGCGTGTTCATTACTGTCATGTGAAGTTTTACTTTTTCTGATTTTTTCTTCATTAATCCTAAAAACATTATACTCTTGGTTTATTTATCGCTAATTAGTGATAAATATGTAAATTTAAATATGATAAAATTGTATACTTTCGTTATTATTTTCAATTTCAAATTCAATTTCAATTTTAAATTCTTTACATTAAATTTAAATTTACATAAAAAAATACACATTTAGTTTAAATTATTATTTATTATTTATATTCTAATTGTTTATGTCTTACCCTTTTCTGCAAAATATTCCACGATATTGTCTGACAATTCCTGAAGAAGTCCTTGTTCGTCGACAATTCCTGCGTACAATATATTCACTTTAGTTGGATCCTTATTCATACATGTGACTCCTTTCGCTTCAATGGTAATTGGTCCATTTTTTTCGATAAAAGGCCTGAAAAATAAGTTTTTAGAAAATTTTAAAAATATCTTTTTGGCGATTTTGAAAATATTTTGTTACAATAGAAATATTTTAAAGATTAGCGGTAATAATTATATTTTTTTTACGTTTTAAAAGAAGAAAAAACCTACTGGATAATTTCAGTTTTACATGAATTGAGAATTTCGACAGCATTGCTTTCCTCGTCTTCATCAAATAACCACAAGACGTCGAGAGTGAGATGTAATCTTCCCTCCTTTTGAAAAAGAGTTTCTTTCACTCCTCTCGATTCCTTGCCACTATTTGTCAAAACTTCTGTTTTGAAATTATTAAAATTACTAATTACATGCTCGTGTTTCATTGGTATGGAAATAAAGTGAGTGCATCTCACTTTAAATCTCGATTCTTTCGTTAAAATATCAATTTGATGCCTTGCAGATATTATTTCCTCGCCTTTCGAACCAATAACAACTACAAAAGAAAAGAATAATTAATAATAAAAAGAAAAGTACAAATTAAACACAACTTCTCTTTTCTTTTTTGGAAAAATTTAATTGATAATATTTTATTTTAATTTAATTATTTAATTATTTTGTATTATAATTATTTTATACAGTACCTATATCACTATCTTGTTTTCTTTCCGGTATCAATATTGATGTATTCGTATCAATTTCTATCCTCTCTTTCGTTGACCCTTTTGGACCCGTGACTAATGACAACAATCCTCTGTAAAGAATTATTAATAGATCAATGATTTGCAAATTTTTTTTTGAAGAAAATTATATTACAAAATGAAAAATTTATTACTTTTTAGCTCGCTTTTTAGAAAACGTGTTAATTAATTAAAATATTTGTTACCTAGGAACGTAGAATGTATGTTTATATTTTCCTTCAGAATGAGGAAAAATTTCAATATCCGTAATAGTAGAATTAGAATCTTCATTAATTGATTCCTCCTCGGAATTTTCAGAATCTTGAGATGAAGTTCTGGTTTTAGAGAAACTGTAGCATTTTTCGTCGATGCGAATTAATTTTCTCTTTGGCTCATAATTCATCTTTTTATTCGAAAAAAATGTTAATTGAAAACTCTTTCCTTTCGGTAGAATGTGTATTAATTTTTTCCAAATATTTCCCATAATTACAAATGGTGCATTTTCGATTCAAATCGAAATTTCTTTCTCAGTTTTAAACTATAGAAAGTTTTAACTAAAATAATCAATTACTTTATAAAACTGTACAAATTTATAAAGTTATCATTTTTCCATAAAGTTAAATTACATAGTAATTTTTATAGTAAAAAGAACTCGGTAAACAATTATTATTTTATCAAACTTGTTTATTTTTTGAAAAATTTATTTTTATACCTTAAATAACAAATATATTTTTATTTAATTATTTAAAAAGAGAAAAGTTTTAAAATAATTTACTCTTCGCACAATGTTTTTATTTCCATAACCTCCAAGTATAAACTTTCTAAAGGCGCGTGCGCTATTCTTTTTATTTTAAAAGTTAAAATTATTTCTTTTTTCTTAATTTATTTAGAATGGAATTTAAAATTCTAAAAAATAATAAACAGACATTAAAAAAGCCTACTTTTTTAAAATTCGAAAATTAAAGGAACATAAAAATTATTATTTACATTAATTATTATTTTATCAATAATATTTATAATATTATCAAAATTATATAAGAACAATATTTGATATCAGTAAAGTTTTCCACAAAAGGATACTATTAATTTCACGTCGAAAGAACATTAAACGTCAATTTTTGATGTATCCTTATAATAACCGATTTCATTCCTGGTATTCCTTTGAGATAAATGAATAGTCGACAATTTCATTTTTCCAAAATAAGTATTTTTGTGGACCTGAAAATAAATTTTACGTCTTTTTTTTATCTAATTTTAATTTACGATATTTATAGTAGAACATTCACGCTGAGTATTTTGTTACACAAAAATCAAAATTCCAAAAATAGTTTTTTGAATTTTAAACAAAAATTTTATTACTAAAAATTTATATTTTTGCAAATAAATTTTTTTTAATTCTTACTTTCAGTATGTTTGAAGCATCAAATGAACCCCAATCGCCTTTTAATGCTTCACTGTCATCTTTTAAGGCGAATTTCATATTCATTATTGTCATGTGTAATTTCACACGACTGTATTTTCGATTAATTAAACCTAAATTTAATATTAGAACATTAGAAAATATTTTAATATTGTAAATATTAGAAAATTTGAATATTATGAATATTGGAAAATTAGAATTTTTGAATATTACGAATATTGGAAAATTAGAATATTAAAAATTTCGAAACTAATTTTTTAATTACTCACAATATTCGAAATTTCAGAACACTAACTTTTTAACATTCACAATATTCCAAATTTTGAATATTATGAATATTGGAATTAGTGATGAGAATTAGTGGTGAATATTTTAAAAATTACCATCCTTAACGAAATAGTCGACAATATTGTCGGCTAAAGTTTGGAAAGTTTGCTCCGAATCAACTATTCTTGCGTAAAGAATTTTAGTTTCTGAAGGTTCATCATTCATGATTTCGACTCCTTTTATTTCTAGATTTATTGGTCCATTAGCCTTAAGGAAAGGACTGCAAAATTAAAAAAATTAAATTCAAATTACTCCGATAGTTTTAATTAATTTTTATTCATTTGAAATTGAAATTGATTAATTCTATATTCAATTTATTTAATAAATTAAAAGAATGAATATCATTTCTTCAATAAATTAAAAGATAGAATATCATTTATTTAATGAATTAAATAATTGAAAATAGAATAAATATAATAAATTAAATAACTTACTCTATAACATCTTTTTTGCAATCCTGCAATTTTTTTGCTGCTGCTTTCCTTTCATTGTCATCTAATAATTTCAATACATCAAGAGTGAGATGAAGTCTCTCTTCACTTTGAAAAAGTGAATCACTTATTCCTCTCGCTCCTTTTCCGGTTTTATTTAATACGTCCTTTTGAAATTCTCTAAATTCATGAATTACATTCTTATCTGTTAATGGAACAGATAAAAAATGTGTGAATTGTACTTTTTTTCTTGACGATTCTACCAGTAAATCAATTCGATTTCGGGCCGAAATAATTGATCTACGACTTCTGCCGATGATTACTGAAGAAATATATTTTTATTTCAATTATCAGTTGTTCGTGTATTTTAATTGAAAATTAGAAAGAAGAGAAATTTTTTTTACCTATGTCTCCATCTTGTCCCACTTTTGGTATATTTATTGTTGATTTTGTCTCAGCTTCTAATCTTTTTCTAGTCGCACCTTTCGAACCAATTATAAATGCGTAAAATGCCCTGAAATAAATAAAATTACATGTTAATTATAAGTTATTTATTAATTATCTTCAAATATTTATTATTTAAATTTGTATTTTGAATAATTATTCAAATGATGAATTTAAATTATCAAAAATAAATATTCAAATATTGAATATCGAAGAAATAATATTCAAATAAATATTTTATTACTTTGCAAATTAAAAAATTTTCCTTTTTGTAATATAAACATCAATTTTTCAATAATTTCAAGATTCAAAATTTAAAAAGTCCACTTAGTAACTAGGTAATTAATTATTAGAATTATTTATTAATTTCAAAAGACTTGATACAATTTTTCATAAGAATTCAATTATTTTCTAAATATTTTTAAGAAAATTTCACGAAAGGATTAAATTCTTTTCTAAAAATTTGATAAAATTCTTCGGAACAATTCAATTATTTTTATAAATTTTTTGTTTCTGAAGAATTAAATTATTTTTATGAATAATAACATTCTTTTCAAGAATTCAATTATTTTCAATTCAATTAATAAAATTCTTGACAAGAATTCAATTATTTTTTATAAATAATAATCTTTTTCGTTGGAATTCCATTATTTTCAAAACAATTTTAATAAAATTTTTTGAAATAATTAGATTAATAATAATTCAAACTTTGGATAATATTTTTTAAAAGAATTGGATTATTTTTGAAAAATTGAATTAACTTCTTTGCAAAAATTAAATTATTTAAAAAAAATGAAATAAAATTCTTCGCAAGAATTGAATTATTTTTTATGAATAATAATCTTCCTCGTCGGAATTCAATTATTTTCAAGTAATAAAATTCTTTGCAACAATTCAATTATTCTTAATACGATTTTAATAAAATTTCTCGAAAGTATTCAATTATTTTAAAAAATTGAAAACATTTTTAAAAAATTATTTAAAAAGTTAACAAATACCTGGGCACATGAAATGAATGTATAAATCGTCCTCCGAAATGTGGTTTAATTTCAATATTACTTTCATTGGATTCTTCATCAGAATCATAAATAGGTTCTGATCGTTCTGATGTTTCCTCCTCATAAGTTCCGACATTTCGATATTGAGTCCAAGCAGAACTATCAGGAAATCTGTAATTTCTTTTGTCAACAGTAACTATTTTTGGTTTTAAAGAATCCATTTTGTAAATTATCACAATTGTTATTAATTGCAAACGTTTCAAACAGATAAAATAGTTATAAATAGAAAGTTATCAGTCTTTCACTTTTAATATCCTTTTTTAGGTTATCAAACGTAAACATAAACAAAAGTGCAAGAACTCAAAAATTCCGCTCGTTCCGTTTTTCAAGCCAATAAGTTTTCTATTTAAAATGGTTACAAGGGAAATAATTTTCCACTGGCGAAAATTTTTCAGCGGGAATTTTAATATATTTGCACAACAATTGCAAATTAAGCAATTAATAATTTTGCCAGTCGATTAATTAAAAATTTAATATAAATTAAATATTTTTGGATTATTTAATTGACAATCGTAGTCGAAATTATTTTCGAAAATCCATTTAAAATATTATTTATTAGTCTTGTGTAGAAAGTGTATAAAATATCTGTATAATTTTTAAATAAAATAATTTTTTAATATCTCGATGCTTTACATTCTTCGTTTAAGATCAAATTGATCCCTTTTTTCATTTCTTGAAAAATCTCCCGCATTATTAGAGTTTTGCTTGTTTCTTAGCTGAGTAAACAATTCCGGACGAGATAAAATTATTAATTTCGGAAGAATTATATCCAAGGGCAGCAAGAATTTCTAGAGTATGTTCTCCAGTGTTCGTGAAAGAATATCTTGAACCATTTGACAATCCAGGAGTTCTAGACAATTTTGGTGCTGGATTTGGAATTAAAGTTTCATCATCATCAAGGGAAAAAGTACCTCTCTCCTTATTATGCGAATGATTTTTCACTTTGTCCAATGTTAGAACCGGTGTCACACAAGCATCAGAATAATCAAATATTTTATACCATTCTTCCTGTGTCTTTTGTTTGAATATTTTTTCCAATTTTCTCTTATTTTCCTCAAAATCAACAAATTGGGGACAATCGTCTTCAGTCAATTCTAATTTTTCTAGTAAAATTGCGTAAAATTTTGGTTCTATCGCACCCACTGACATATATTGTCCATCCTTTGTTTCATAGGTGTTATAAAAATGAGATCCTGTATCTAAGCTGAAAAGAAAATAAAATGTTAAATTTTTTTTTAGGTGTCGTTCGAAATGTAAAAAAATCGTACATATTTTTTCCTCTAGGTTGGCCCCATAATGCGGCAACATTTTGCGATCTGAATATCCAACTTCCTAAATATGCGGTGCCTTCGACCATGTTTGCGTCAATAATTTGTCCCATTTGTGTTTTTGAGCGATCAAAGAGTGCTAAAATAATTCCCAAGGCACACATTAAACCACCTCCTCCGAAATCGCTTATCACATTTGCAGGTGGTATGGGATTTTCATGGTGACGACCGAATAGTGAAAGCAATCCTGGAAAAAGATTTTTTAATTAAAATTAGAATTTAATTTTTAAATATCAACTTCATTATTTTCAAAAATTCTTCAAGACAATTCAATTATTCTCATAAATAATAACATTTTTTGGAAGAATTTATTTATTTTTATAAAACGTAATTGTTTTCAAAATTTTTAATAGAATTCATTCAAAAAAATTTAATTATTTTCAAAAATTCTGATAAATTTCTTTGGAGGAATTCAATTCAATGATTTAAATTAAAAATGAATCTGTTTAAAAATGAGGAAATTTTTACCAGACAAACTTAAATAATTGATATCATGTCCTGCACAATCAGCAAATGATCCATATTGTCCATAACCAGTTAATCTCGCGTAAATTAATTTCTTATTCGTCTTCATTAAATCTTCAGGTCCAATTTTAAGCTTTTCCATAACTCCTTTTCTAAAGGGATCTATAATCACATCACTTTTCATAGATAATTTTTTTACAATTTCAATTCCTCTTTCGTTCTTCAAATCCAAAGAAATCGATTTTTTCCCGTTACTTAGACAATCAGGAAAAATATTTTCCCCAATCTAAAACAAATTGCAATTAAAAGAATTAATAGGTAATATTAACTATTAACAATAAAAAAAGATTAATAATATTAATTAGTAACAATAAAAAATTAATACTTATTAATTAATATTAATAGTAAAAAATTAATAATGTTAATTAATATCACAAATAATAAAATTATTCGATAATTTGCTTGAAGAAAATAATTAAATAACTCACACGTTCAATTTTCGTGACTGTTGCTCCAAAATCGGCTAAAATCATTCCACAAAATGGACCAGGAGCAAGTCCTGCCATTTCCAAAACTTTTATCCCCTTCAAAGGCATTTTTATTTTTTCTAATTATTAATTGCCAATTTATTTATAATCAGAACAATTTGGTAAATTTTATTGTTGTTAAATTTTTATTATTGTTATTTCTTATTTCAAAGTTTTTGGACTTCAGAAAATATTGCAAAATCACGTCAAGTATAATTCATTGCAAATTGATATAATAAAACTGTTGAATGTAATTGATAATAAAATTATTTATGATTTTCAAAAAGAAATTTATTATAAAAACACAAAAAACTTGATATGAAGGTTATGTGCATTTAGATTAGAGTTCAAAGTGCGATAACTGAAATGGAAAACTTTGTAAATATTCTTTTTTTACCTAAAGGAACAAGTATGCCATGTTTAAACATTGTTAACTTGAATTTTTTTTCTAATTGAATAATTTTTAATACATTGTAATGGGATTGTAATTCATGTAAATAGTTATTTGAATGCGCATATGATAAAATGCCGCAGGTTCTGTTGATAACGAAGAGTGTTACTTAAAAATTTTGCACCTTTCTTTATCAATGTTAAAAATTTCAGAAATAAATTTAATAATTGCTATTTATTTTATTCGATAGTATTAAATTCCGAAGTATTTATTTATTAAATTCCAAAGTATTAAATTATTAAATTCCAAAGTATTGAATTATTAATTAAATTCCAAAGTATTAAATTATTATATTTGAAAGTATTAAATTATTATAATTCAAAGTATTAAATTATTATAATTCAAAGTATTGAATTATTAAACTCTAAAGTATTAAATTTTGAAATTGTTAATGCAATTAAAATGCAAAAGACTGAGAAATAACTCTTTGAATTGTCTATATACATTTATTTACAACTTAATAGAAAAAATGCCTTTAACTATATAAATTAACGAACCAAAATATCTTGATCTAAACAATACAATCCTAATTCACCATATCGAAATGCCTTGATAAAAAGTTCAGCTGCATAAGCATAATTTGGTTTCACGATAATTTTATTATCAAAGTTTTTCAATTTGATCGTTTTATTTAAATTAACAGCAATCTGACCGAGAACATCGAATATATTATCATTTGGTTCGAGTAATTGAAATTTCTCCACATACTCAAATCGTCCCTGCTTATTTAACCAAAATAATAAATAGTCTGCCATTTTTTCCGGCCCAACTAAATGATCCAAAATACAGCCAGCCAATGATAATTTCAATCCACCCTGAATATCTCTAATTTCAGGCGATAAAATACCCGGCGTATCGACGAGATAAATATTTTCCTTTATTTTTATTCTCGTCATCACCGAACGTGTAATGCCGGCAACAGCACCAACAGCAGCGGCATTTCCCTTCTTAAGATGATTATTACGTAGGCGATTGATTAGCGATGATTTTCCCACATTTGGAATGCCAACCACCATTATGCTAAATTCACATTCATTCTCACGATTAAAACGTTCGGATTTATTTATGAGATTCATTGCCAATGGAAGTAGGGATTTCATGCCCTTACATGTTTGATCTTTGAAATTTGTTACGACAATATTTTTCACACCATCCTTCTTTAGACGATCGATGGCTTGATTTGTATGTTCCATATCCGTTAAATCGATTTTATTTAGTACATAAATATGTGGTTTTATGTCGCCTAGAATATTTTTTAATTCATGACAACGGCCTGATAATGGAACTCTTGCGTCCGTTACTTCGATTATTAAATCAATGTTTTTTAATTTTTGTTGCATTTGCCGCAAACCTTTGCCCATGTGACCTGGAAACCACTGTAGAAAGTCTTTTCTGTCGGTTAAAAAGGTCTTTCGAAAACCATAAGTTACTTGTTTTCTTATTATCGATGACATTATGATGTTTGTACTTTGTTGTCTGAAAAAATGTTTAACATATTAATTTAACGACATTGAAAAATAAATTAATGTGATAATTAGGACATAAATTTATGAAAAATTACTGAATAGTAAAATATAATATATTAATAAGTATGATAATAATCATAATAATAAGTATAAATCATAATTCATACACTTCATAATAGTAAACAGAGTATAAACATAACAAAACAGAAATGGGCATTTAAATAATTTTTAAATTAACGAAATAATTCTTACATGATAATCAAGACGATTTACAGTAATTTTAACACAGAATTATACAAAATTGGTTTCTTTTCCATTAGTTTACATCCAAATACAAGTAAAACTAAAATGTAAATGTCAACAATTCACGTGCAATCCATAAAAATAACATAAAACTGAACCTAACCTAAAATATTTGCGCCCCCTGGTAGGAAATATTAAAAATTAAAACTTCAAAAAATTCAAAAATTAATTAATTTATTAAATTTTCTAATAATTTAATTAGTTTAATATTCAATTTATTATTATTATTATTATTTAAAATTATACAATTTTTTATATTTAAATACTTTGATTTTTGAATTAATTTATAGATTCAAAATTTTTAAAAATATTTACTTATTATTAAACTAATTAATTGTTAATTTATTATTCTCATAAATAATAAAATTCTTCACAAAAATTCAATTATTAGCAAATTTAAATAAATTCTTCACAAAAATTCAATTATTTGCAAATTTTAATAAAATTCTTCGCAAGAATTCAATTATTTTAAAACATTTTAATAAATTTTTGTTATAAAATTCCATTAATTTTTGTTAATAATATTTTAAAATTTTATCTAATAATTTTTTAAAATAATTAATCCTGCAAAAAATATTATTATATTTTCAAAAATAATTGAATTTTATAAACAATTGTATTGAAATGTTTAAAAATAATTGAATTCTTGCGAAAAATTTTATTCAAATTTGCAAATAATTGAATTTTTGTGAAGAATTTATTAAAATTTGTAAATAATTAAATTTTTTCAAAGCAGTTTATTAATTAAAATTTTTAAATAATTGAATTGTTGAGAAGAGTTTATTTTTTGCAAGAATTCAATTATTTTTAAACATTTTAATAAAATTTTTTTATAAAATTGAATTATTTTTAATACAATTTCAATTAAATTATTTGAAAGAATTTAATTATGTATTTCGAAAAATTCAAGTATAAAGTTCTTTGAAGCACTTCAATTATTTTCAAAAATTTAAATAAAATTCTACCCAAAAATTAAATTATTTCAAATTTCTCATTATAATAAATAAAATTTCGTACTTAACATTTTATTTATTTATTTTTTACAAATATAGATTTATAGAACAGATTTACTTAAAAATAAATAATCTAGTTTAAAGAAAATGTTAAATTTTTTTTATTTACAGAAATCCGGATAAAATGAATTAAAATTGTAAAAGTAATTAACATTTTGATAAGGATAGATATATATTTTTTTTAATAGACAACATCCGAATATTAAAATACTTTTTAAGTACAATATCTGTCCTTAAATGTGTTTACTTTTGTTGTTGTTGTTATTGTTATTGTTGCAATTGTACAAATAAAATATGTATTTTCTTTAAATTCATTTAAAACAAGTAAAAAGAAAATAATTGACTTATGAGCATCAGACAGAGAAGACGATAAAGGTATAATTTTTAATTTTTTTTTTTAAATATTATATATATCTCGCTGTATAGATAGAATCTGATCGTAACTTAAACAATTATATCGCATATATATATTACAATACTTACAGAAACAGATTCAATATTATTAACAAAATATTTTATATATTCTTTTTTTTTCATAAAGCTTTACTTTTAAGTAAACTAATTCGTTTTATGGTTTTGACTAAACCTTGGAATAATTTACAAAATTTATATGTATAATATTCTCTAATAAATATAATATAACTACTTTTAATAATATACATCTAATATAATTGAGTCGATCATTGGAAAATGTTAATTTCGAAAATTAATTTTTTTCATTGCAATATATTTTCTTTTAGACAAAAATATTTTTTTGTCTAAAAAAATATTTTTGTCTAAAAGAAGATATATTGCAATGAAAAGAAATACAAAATTAACAAGATTTAACAATGAAAGACTCAATTTTAATTTGTATAAGAAATAATAATTATATAATAATATTGTGGTACTCTGGAATAATTATCACATTAGTTTGCTGAATATCGTGCCATTGCCCAGCAAACACAGTCACATTTATAACAATTACGTATCATTTTTCATTTTTTTTAAATTGTCACCTAATTGTTATACATTTCATCAAATTCTAATCTATAAGTGTTTTCTGGGGTTTTTCATTTTCTTTCTCTGTATTTTTTTTACATTTTTTTTTGTCTTTTTTTTATTTTTAATTCAATCAGATTCTTTCTTTCATTACTTTTTTTTTCTTAAATTGAATGAAGATTATAGGATTTCATTCTACGAATAACATTTTTTGAAATGCTTGTTGATTTAAAATTGAGTTAAAATTATTCACAATTGTTGGAGAGAAATCTCCCGAAATTATTCGGGCTAGGCCACTTGCTCGTATTTCGCTTTATTAATATTATTAGCAAGACAACAGGCCAAAAGTACTCCAATTAATGGGAAAAATGCAAATGCAATTGCGCTGGCAGCAACGATTCCAACATTATTGCTTATCAATTCAGTCACTCGATTGTAGCAGCCCTGAAATGGAAAAAAAAATTATTTATTGGAATTTTTTTTTAACTTTATGTTAAAAAATATAAATTCTTTTCGTGTATTAAAATAAATTAATAAAAACTAATCAATTAGAATTGAAAAAAAGGAAAATCTACATTGCCTTAAATTTTGTCTACGTATAAATTAATTCACGTTAGAAAATTAGTATTTTATATACAGAAAACGAATTTATGAAGAAAAAAAAACAAAAGAGAGGAAATAAAAGGAAAAAGTAAGATTAATAAATCTTTTCCTGCCTGGGTGTAAATTTTTTTTAGATCATTTGTTAAGCATTCTTCGCTTGGTACTTTGCAGCATGAAAGTGGAACAGCTTGCGGATGCTTTAAATTGTACCAATCAGAGTACGCCTTATTACCACAGCATTGTAACTGAAAATAAACAAATTTATTTTGTTAATAAAAATATTATGTAGGTGCAAAATAACATTTAATTTACAATTGATGAGAAAGGGGAGAGTAAACTAATACTAATATAGCAATTTTACTCCAAAGAATAAAACTTAGTTTATTAAATTAGGAGAAGTAGAAATAAAATAATTTGAATTTAATTTACAATGTAATTTAAATTAATTTACCGTGCTTTGCATAAAATCGACATGAGTGGTCCTCGGATTACTGTCTGTATAGGCGTCCAGACTATAATTCAGTCCTTGATCAAATCCTTCGGTTAATGTGCTTCTATAAGAGTAAACTGAAGCGCCAGCTCCCAATTCGAGTAGAGCAGTCGCGGCCAAAAACGCTCCGTACTTGAAAAAGAAAATAATTGTTAAAATAGTTAAAGAATAAAATATAAATACTAAAAAATTATAAATTATTATTTAAAGAAATAAATCATTAAAAAATTAATTTTCATAAAATAATTTAAATAAACCTGAGCTTAGTTGAACAAGCAATTTTGTTCAACTAAATTCAGATTTATTTAGATGCAGTTTATTATTATTTACTTATTTAGAAAATAATATTATTTTCCATACTTATTCGTTAATAGGTGGATTTTTTTAGTTTTAAAAGACTACATTCGTGTAAGAAAAATTATATTCTAATTTTTTTAATTTAATATTCCGAAACTGAAATAATTTAATTCTTAAACAAAAAATTTTATAAAAATGTTTGAAAAGAATTAAATATTGTTTCGAAGAATTGTATTAAAAGCTATTGAAAATAAATGAATTCTTTCAAAAAATTAAATAAATATTTATCAGAAGTTAATTGAATTCTTCTAAAGAATTTTATCAAAATTTTTGGAAATAATTGAATTATTGCGAAGAATTTTACTGTATTTATGAAAATAATTGAATTTTTCTGCAGAATTTTATTATTTCTAAAAATAATTTAATTCTTGTGAAGAATTTAAATATTTACCGAAATAATTGAATTTTTGCTAAGAATTTTATTATTTATGAAAATAATTGAATTTTTCATTCGGAATTTTTTTAAAAATTTTTAGAAATAATTGAATTCTTGTTAAGAATTTTACTATTTATGAAAATAATTGAATTTTTGCGAAGAATTTCACTAATATTTTTGAAAATAATTGAATTTTTGAGAAAAATTTTTTCAAAATTTTGAAAAATAATTGAATTCTTGCGAAGAATTTTACTATTTATGAAAATAATTGAATTTTTATAGAGAATTTAATTAAAATTTCTAAAAATAATTGAATTCTTGTAAAGAATTGAACTATTTATGAAAATAATTGAATTTTTGCGAAGAATTGTATTATTTATGAAAATAATTGAATTTTATCAAAATTTTTTAAATAATTGAATTCTTTTGAGAAATTTTATTAAAATTTAAAAAAATATTTGAATTGTTTCAAAGAATTTTATTAATATTCTGAAAATAATAAATAATTACAATTAATTAGTGAATAACTAAATCATCTTAAATGTCGAATCTGAATTTCAAAAATTGAAGTTGATATTTGAAAATAAATTATTTGCAATTTGCATAATAATAACAAATTAAATCCCACATTTCAGGCGCAAGCGCGAGTTACATTTGAGTACAAGTGATAAAAGCAATAATAATAATAATAATAATAGTAATTATTATAATAGTCATAATAATATTAAAAATATTTATAATTATAAAATAATTTTTATTTTATATATTATTTTTTCTATTTATTATTTATTAATAGAAATTGAATTTCATTTATTTATTTATTGATAAATTAATATTTTGTAATTATAGAATTAGAATTTTTCCTAATTTTGAAAAAAGAGAGTAAAAAATTTAAACTTAAAAAAAAAATTATTTACATAAGAAATCAGCAAACTATTGTACCTATAAAAAATGTAAATAAACGTTTGGCTATTTAAAATGAAAAAAAAAATTGTCGCGCTTTATAGTTTAAATGAATGAAAGTATCGTTAATTTACCAGATAAAGCAGAGCGGGATGTCCTCGAGCTGTGCAGCAACAGGCAAGAATCGCAGCAATAACGACAATTGCTCCTAAAAAAGCTAATGCCAATAAAGCGGCTCCACTTCCCTCCGTATTTGAATCAACGTAATCTCTCAATTGCAACCTCATAGCTATCCCAATAAATAGCATTAATATTCCCGAGGACTGAAAAATAATCTTCAATTAGTAAATTATTATTAATATTATCGACGAAATAAAAAATTAACTCTTTACTTTTTAATCGAACATCAAAATTTTCTGAAATTCTATTATTTTATAGAAATTTAATTTCAAATTTTTAACTAATCAAGACGATTATTTATAATTATTAATTTTTTGATTAATTTTAATTTTATTCATTTAGTGTAATTTTAATTTGTTTAATTTAATTCAATTTTTATAATTCGATTTAATTTATTTAGTTTCGATCAATTTTATTTTATTTTAATTAATTTCATTTAATTTCGATTAAAATCATTTAATTTTGCTTCATTTTATTTCACTTGATTTCACTTCTTCTTATTTCATTTATTTAAATTTTTAAATTAGGAATTTTAAAACATTTCTTACTAAATTATTTTTAATTTTACGATTTTTAGCACTAAAACGATCGAGATAATAATATTAACACAATTCAGATTTATCAATAATATTTTTCTAACATTTATCCCTTTACTTTTTCATTCATCTTGTTTTTATTTTCTCCAAAATCTACCAATTTCCGCGCATCCATTTACATCAAAACAAGAGAAATGAGAAAAATTTTCTCGATAATGAAAAAGAATGAATTTTTTTTATCTTTATTATTAAAAATAAAATTTTAAATCAAAAATCAAAAAGAATAATTAAAAAAAACAATTTAGTTACTGAGAAAAAGTGGTTTAATCCTGGCGGAAAATCATCTCTGGACCAGGCAATTGTAAGAAGAAAAAAAGAGGAAATAAAATGTAAAAAAGAAATTTTCTTACCAGAAAAACAAAATTGAAGAGCATCAATAATGTTGTCATGCATGCCGTAGCAGCAACATTTTCCAATCGTTTTCCCATTGCCATTTTTTTTCTTCTCTTTAATCACTAATTTTTCTACTCTTTTGCGCTTTGAAAATACAACTTTGTGCACACACAACGGAGAGGAATATTGCCTTTGAAGAATCGATTTGTCAACATGAACGCGTGCGTAGTTCCTTTCGTAGAAACGCATGCGTTGAAATTATAAGCGAAATATACATTCAACATTAGTTTTCTAAAAATAAAATTGCCTAAATAATGAAATTGAAAGATTTGCAGAAAAAAAGAAGAGATTGAGAATTATCATTATTAGAAATTCTTAAATTAGATATTAGATTCTTCAAAATTTTGGAATTTTTTCCTTTTCGAAAAAAATGGGTCTTTTTTTACCGCCATTTATTTTTTGATGATAAAAGTGGAAATTCTTGAAAAAATTCTTCGATCTTGATTGATCAAAATTGTATCGAAATAATTCTAGAGAATTATTATACTTGTCAGAAATTCTCGTCAGAAATTTCTCGTTGTTTAATCATATCCCGGGAAGAAAATAACAATCACTCCCACTCACTGATTCCACATATCGATGGGGTGATGAGGTTGGATCGATATTCTTCCTATAGGTCACCAAAACCCCTGGCCAAATTTCATCGCTCGCTACTTGTTGATATTTGCCGATTTTATTCGAATTTTCCCCTTTTTCTTGTTCCTCCTCGTAATTTGCATTTTCGTCTGGATTATTAATTCTCGAGTAATGTTCAAATTCGTCATTGATCGATTCTGAATCTCTTCTTTCGCAGTGATTTTTCTCGAGTTTCGCAGGACTTGAATCACGACTCTTCTTTAAATCGCCAATTGTCTTGAAATAAATACTATGATCGTAACTATAAGTCTCGAGGCAATTGCTGTCTAATTTTCCATTTGATCGATAATTCAAGGTACCACAACAATTTAGTTTTAATTCCTCGTGTTGCAATTGACGAGCATGAGAACGATTTAAAGGCTGAAGGCGAGGGTTGAATGATGATTCTTCAATGAAGAGTTTATTGCCAGCGATACTCCAGCGAGATGATAACGATGATGAATTTTCCTCTTTCATTGTCGTTTGACTGCGGGGAATTTTTTGCGAACGAAGACGATTATATCCTTTTGCACAAGCGGCCCAGTGTTCGATTCTTTGAAAAAGATATTCCGTTTCCTCGCTCCACCATTCGGTGAATGCTCGTTGTCGTGTTTCCAAATTCATTGTCACTGTCATTTTATATATTTTCACGGAGCGACTCGTCAGTCAGCAATGATCGCACTCGACGAAAATCAAAGACTTTTTATCACTTACGTTGAAGACCTAGAAAGAGCAGAAGCCGTTAAAAGAATTGTTTAATCTCATTTGACCTTCATTTCCAATGTCAATGACGTAAATTTTCCCAATTCGAAATTCACCCGATCAAGGCGAATTTTATTTGTCTCAATGAAGCCAAGTAACTCTACGTTAAATTAGAAAATAATAAAAGTTCGACATTTCCAATTTTCTACACTTTTTTCCAAATTAACATTTTTTTTCTATTTAATTTTCTATCAAAGAAATGAAAAAAGACCTAATTTTTACCAATATTGAAAAAATTAATGCAATTTTGAATTAGTTTTCAGAAAATGAAGTAAATTTTTATTCACAGAGACTAGAAAATTTCTTTTGAGAATTTCAAATTGAAAAAGTAGAAAGTTTCTAGAGAAAGAAAAGCCCTATAGTATTCTATTGTTATTTTAATCATTCTCTCTTGTCAATATGAATTAAAGTGAAATTTGAAAAAATATGAAAAATAAAGGGCGGGAAATTATTGGGGGCGTTGATAATATTGTTAAAGAAGCTGTCGATCATTTGAGAAAAAAAATTGCAAGCATGGAATATCAATGAGATTTACAAGTAGCATGTTAAAAGTGGAAAAAAATTGTTTGTCGCATCTCAATATAAAGAATAGAAAAAAGAAGATGAAGAGATTAAAGAAAAAATTCAACCCTCCTGGGAATCTGCACTTCTTGGTATATAAGCAGATAAAAATTGGTCCAACTACCTCAGTCGCTCATCGTTCAACTTTTCCTCTTGTACACTTCTTTTCTTCCAGGTGAGTTCCACTTGCGATTTTTCTCAATTACTTTTTTTTTCTCAAGTGTTCGTCGAACAGTGATTGTTATAGTTCTGTGAAAAATAAATTGTTTAAATTAAAATTAAAGAAAATTAAAGTATAAATTAAAGAAGATTAAAATTAAAATATAAATTAAAGAAAGTTGAAATTAAAGAAGGTTAAAATTCAAAAAAAATTAAAATTAAGAAAGAATAAAATTGAAAAATAATAAAATGAAAATAGATTAAAAATAGAAAAGAAAAACTAAAAAAAAATTAAAATTAAAGAAAAATTAGAATATTACTAAATTAAAAACGAAATTAAATAACAATTTTGTAATTTTAGAAACGGAAATGAACCAGTTAACTAGAATGTTTTTAACTTTGGCGACCATTTGGTTACTTTTCGGCAAAACTGAGACTAAATCGAACTCGGAACATCTTTCAGTTCGTCCTAGAATATTTCACAATCTTCCATTATTTCCCAGGTAAAAAATTAATTGTCTAAATTATTAATTAGAAACTTTCAGTTTTAAAGACTTTCTTAATCAATCAAAATATATTTTTTAGTCAGAAAATACTTTAATCTTTAATAACAATAATAAAAATAATCATATTTTTAATATTTTTCTATCTAAATATTTTCTTTCTAAAATATATTTAAGATTTTTTAATATTTTTTATTTTATCATTATTTTAATAATTTAATTACTAATTCAATATGAAATAGAAATTTTATATACAAAATAAAATCAACTCACAAAAAAAACAAAAGAAAGAAAATAGAATCGAAAAATAATATTAGAAAAAAACAAATTCAAAATTTCATAAGATAAAATCAGTTCACAAAAAAGATAACAAAAAAAGAAAATAGAATAGAAAATAAATAGCAGAAAACAAATTAAAAACTTCATAGAAAAATAAAATTAACTTAAAAAAAGACACAAAGAAAAAGAAAATAGAATAGAAAAAACAAATTAAACATTTTCTATTGAAAATTTCATGAAAAAATAAAATCAATTCACAAAAAAAGAAAATAGAATAGAAAATAAATAGAAAAAACAAATTAAACATTTTATATTGGAAATTTCATAAAAGAAATAAAATGAATTCACAAAAAAGAAAATAGAATCGAAAATAAATAGAAAGAAACAAATTAAAAATTTCATTAAAAAAGTAAAATCAACTCATAAAAAAGCGAAAAAAAATAGATTAGAGAACAAATAGAGAAAGTAAATTAAAAATTTCTATTGACTTGAAAATTTAATAAAAAAATAAAATTAAGTCACAAAAAAAAGAAAATAACAGAATAGAAAATGAATAGAAAAATACAATTAAAAAATTTCATAAAAAAATGAAATTAATTTACAAAAAAGAAAGTAGAAAAAACTTAAAACTCATTTAATTGTTTAAAATAATTTTAAAAAACTTTTAATTATTAATTCAACAAGAGTTTATATAATTTCTCTATCAAGGTTCGCAGTGGAGGATCAAATTTTCGATGAAGACGAAGACATACCACATCCCAATAAACGGCAAAAATTTGACGATTACGGCCACATGAGATTTGGCAAACGTGATCAATTTGAAGATTATGGACATCTTCGTTTCGGTAGAAATCAACAATAAAAAAAAGAACCATTGCGATTAAAATAGTTACTCTGTAAATTATTATTTTTTGAAAATGTGGATCCAAAAATTTATCAACACGTATAATTATTTCTTTTTTTAACATCCCCCTAGAATGAAAAAAAAATAAAAACTCAACCCTTGTAGAAATTATAAAAAAAAATCTTTCCGACAATAAATAATAATGAAAAAATAATTGTTTCTTTAATTTAATGTTGAGTGAAAGTTGAATTAATGTTAATTTAAGTTTAAAGTTAATCAAAACTTATGACGTTAATCAAACCAAGACTTTAATTTAAACTTAAAGTTAATTGAAAGTTAAATTAATGTTAATTTAAATATTTAAAGTTAATTAAAAGTTAAATTAATAATATATTTAATTGAAATGAGGAGAAATTTTTCTGAACTTACCATTTTTATTTTAATATGAGAATATTTTTGTGCTTTTTTCCAAGACGTTTTCTGACTCTCTTTTTTTGTGTATTTTGTTATTCTTTTCGTTTTTGAATCTTGACGTTTCTTTGAATAATGTTTTTCTAAAGAAATATTTTATCTGTTATATCGTTTCGCTTTGAGATGGGATATTTTGTATTTTATATTTTCCAAATCGTCATCTAAAAATGTTCTGATTCCTTCAAGTTTTTCGAGATCTTCCAACGAATATCCGAGTGTTCGTCTAAATAAACTTTCCGTAAATTCCGTCTCTATTTTTGGTATATTTTCCATTTTCCCCTCAGTTGACGATAAATTCTTTTCTTCCGAACTGAAACAAAAGAAACAATAAATTTAAATTATATAAATAAATTTAAATAAAATAATAGATAAATAATGTCAAACAATTGATTTTTATATTATAATAGTATCAAAATTAATAATGTTTTAATATTTTTCAAAAATAAATAGATTATTTCAAATAATTATCTGTCAATACAATGGAAATGAAAGAATATTCAATAGCTGAGTTGCTTTCGAACATTTTTGATGATCCTCAATTTTGTGTACATTAATTTTCTCCTTCGTTTCTGTTAAATAATTTTGTGATTGATATGTTCCTAAATTTTTATATGTTGAAATTTGCAAATTTCGATAGGGAGTCATTTTGTGTTGTAGAAGGAGAAAAAAATTCTCTGATACTAATTTTGCCTTTGACTTTCAATTGTCGAATAATTGACAGATTGAAAATTAAATTTTTTAACGTTTAGAAACATTTTTTATTCACTGAATAAAAAGTCGAAAATTTTGATGCTTTTTATTAAAATTTAATTAAAATTAATAAATTAAAAATTTAATTTCAAGTAATTACTGTTTTAATTAATTTTAAATTCTTTACCTTTTTTATTCGAGAAGAAAATTACGAAAAGATTATATTCAGAACCTCGTCCGGACTGCAAACTCCGATTTCTGAGAAAGAAATGTAATTTTACTTAAACCATTTTATTTTTTAATGAATTAAATTTATTTTCAACTCACCTTTCTAATTTTTGAAATTCCTCAAGAAGAGACAATTACTTCGATAAACGAATTAAATAAATTAAACGTCAAAAATAATAAGAGGGAAAAATTATAAAAAGCAAGGTAACTAAAAATTTCCTTTAAAAACGAATTCCAAAAAAAATATGCGAAAATAAAAAATGTTACAAAGAACATTTTTTGTTTGTTAAAAGAATAAAAAGAGAATAAAGAACAATTTTTTCAAATTTGAAACGATGCAGAGTATTATATTAATTATTAGGAATTAACATTTCTCGTGATGACACAGACGATACAATATTATATATATATAATAGTCTCTTTGAAATATCTACATATAGATACATAAATTTCTTCTTTAAACAATGTATATAAACGACTAGCAACTATTAAGTTTTGAGCATCAAGCTATTTACAAACTTTTTACAAAAGTTTTTTAAGTATCATATGCGAGTACGATAGTCGATACTTTTCTGTACAATCTATACATAATCTACAAAATGTCTTATACTTTTTTTACAATGCCAACATTAAAAAAAAACGTACATAAAAGTACAATTATTAAAATAATAATTAAAAGAAAAAAAAATTCAACAATTACCGCAATGTTTAGAAATTCTTTTAAAAAAAAAAGAAATCTCCAAACGTTCGAATAATAAAAAAACGACTATAATTAAAAATAAACAATAACAAATTTAAGTGAAGCTTAAAATTAATTAAAAATCAATCTTTAAAACTTGTCAAAAGTTTTGGTATTTGTAATAAAAACACAATTGTTATACAGGTACGATGTATTAAGAAAAAAAAACCTCCCAAGACCAACGATTAAAAAACCCGATTTTAAAATTACGTAATGACTAGATAATTGATAAAAAAGATTTTACTATTTTGAATTTTATTTTCAAAATTCGAGAAAATTTTCAAGTTTCATTTTATAGTCTGTACGTAATTTAAAAATCTTCATTATTCAAACTGTCGCAGCTAAAGATACTAAAAGACGTAGAAAGTTTGTTCTCCATTCAAAGCATCGCTTTCGGTTTTCTTTTCAAATATTTTTAAATTAGAAACACTCTTTTTTCGTTTTACTTTCCGATTTCACAATCAATCAGTAGAAAATCCGTTAGTGAGCGAATTTTCGAAATATAATATAATTATTCTAAAATTTTTCTCTTTATGAAACGTTGTTAAATTTCTAATTAGTTGATTCCCTTTCTGATTATTCTTTAACGCTACAAAATTTTACTTATGAGAAATATTTTAAAAATCCTAAAAACCAAAGGGGTTTTTTTAAAATATATTTGGAAATTGTTCTAAATTTTTCTTGTTTTTTTTTAAGGAAAAAAAGATTTTTGTATAGAGGAAGCTAATTTATCAGTTCTTAAACTATAAAGAGCTTTTACTTACAGTTATTTTTAATTTTTTCATTTTATATAGAATAGTTATTTCGCTGAAAAATGTTTACAAAGGCATCAAAAATATATTTTATCTGGTACTTTTCTGATAAGTACAATTAGACTAAACTATTTCATTTAAGTACGATCTTTTTTTTTTTTTTTTTTGATCATTATGAAAGAAGAAAAAGTCGAATTTATAAGTACAAAGATTATTTCCCCCGAGCCATTTTCCCCGTCCCATTAAAATTGTACTTTCTTTTCTTTGACAATTTTTTTTTGTTTTCAAGCAAAGGCCTCTAAAAAAAATTGTATTTATTCACTTATGGCAATAAAAAAATTCACTTTGAAATGTGTATATTGTTAAAAATTCCTCTAAGTATCGTAAAATTTAATGTCTCGTGCTCTAAAAAAAGATTTGAAATTCGATTTGTATTTTTTTCTCTTTTTTTTTTGTTCTTTAGAAAGCACAAAAAAAACTCTAAACTGATTTTCTCTGTGAGAATAGTCCTATGGCAACGGAAACAAATGACGTGATGAAAGGTCAGGATTCATAGACAAGACGCTCGTAATGTGGAATTATTTCACGATTTGGTAAATGCAAACCGAATTCAAGTGTCACCAATACAGCAAATTCGGATGTTATCAATTCTTTGCGATTCAGACGAAAAACATTTTCTATTCTCTAGAATAAAAAATTTATTTTTAATATTTTTTTTTGATGCATTATGACGACAGTGATTAAAGAAAACTGATTCTTATTTTATCGAAAAGAGAGAAAAACAGAATATTTTTATTTTTATCAAAATTCGGAATTTAATTTTGTTCTCTTAATTTAACAGAAAGAAAAAAAATATATTTATTTTATAATTTCTGAATTTAATTTTTGATTTTATTATTAAGTGACGTCTTAAAATTTTTTTTAAAAAGAAGTGAAATAATTGCAAACATACCTCAATTAAATTTTTTAAAACTTCGCCCTTCACGTCATTGAGTTTTGCAGCGAGTAGTAAGCAAGCACCAGCGCATAATTTCCGTGTTTGTTTAGTGACGACATTGCGCAAAATTAATTTTTCAAAATAAACATATGCCATTGCCACCGTTAATAAATCAATTCCATACTCCATTTTAGCGATTTTTCGCATTTCTCTCTTTAAACTGTTAAAAAGAAAAAACAAACATTTTTTAAACATGAAAAATAAATGTTTCTTTAAATATTGTAATTGCAATTTAAATTATTATTCAATTATTTTTGTAATTTAATTCAAATTATTATTCAAAATAATATTACCTTCGTAATTTACTTAACGTGAGTTGAATATGGGGAAACTTTTCCCTAAATTTGTCATTAAGTTCTTTCTTTAAATCAGACGGTCTCACGTAATCAATAACAGATGCCTGAAAATTGTAGAAAAATTAAAATATTTTTATCCCAAAAAAATTTTATCAGCATTTTTGAAAAGATAATTGAAATTTTTTAAAATAAATTCCATCAAGAAATTTTATTGAAATTGATTGATTGATTTGAATTAATTGATTTCCTCTAAAGAGTTTAATTTATATTTATGAAAATAATTGAACTCTTGCCAAGAATTTTATTAAAATCTTTTGAAAATAATAAATATTATTAATTATCTAAATAATTGATTTTCTCTAGAGTTTAATTATATTTATGAAAATAATTGAATTCTTGCTAAGAATTTAATTTAAATTTTTTTGAAAATAAATACTAATAATTAATTTGTATCTGTGAATTTTTTTTGAATTTTAAATCTGAAATAATTAAAAAATTAAAGTTGATAAAAATAAAAAAAAAAAGAATTTAAAAATACAATGATAATTGAAAATCTCACCATGTAGGAAGTGAATGTGAGAAGAGTTCGATGTTTTCCGGCAATAAGTTCAGGATCATCGAGTAAATTTGGATTGTATTGTAAAATTTGTTCATCCCAATCGAAAACTGCAATAAATTAAAAAATTTTCACACGATGCTTTGATAAATTTAACAACAAAGCTAATTATCAGTAGTGATTGCTTTAAATTGCTCGAGACATATGATCTTATCGCTTAATTAAATATACATTTAATGCATTCATGTTTACCTTTCGAGTCGACTGTCAGTGATAAAGGCGGAGATTCTGTTACATGTTGATTTCTGTGAGAAGTAGCATCATAAGAAAGATATCTACAAAGAAGGCAAATAACAGAAAATTTATTACAATTTCTCGAAGTAAATTACTTATTATTAAATTGTTAATTAAATTATTATTATTATTTTATTATTATTACTACAATTATTATTAATTGAGGGGACGGCTTCTAAAAGGGGATACGCGTGGATTCTCGCGTTTAAGTTTTGTCCACTTGGTCAATTTTTGAAAGTATTACAAATTGCAATTTGAATTACCGAAGTTTGTGGAAAATGGAAAGGCGCATCTTTTTTCTTTAAGAAATAAATTTATATCTTTTTTAGTTTATAAAATAATGAGAAAAAACTAAATTTTTGAAAACCAAAAAATTTAAATGTTTTACGTCTTTAACTCGTGCTGGTGTTTTTGATTTTTCATATTTTGTAATCAAACAAAAACAAACTCACAGATTAAGGTTTCCTGAAACCAACTATATTTTTAAAACTTCAAAATCTTAATTAATAAAAAGTTTATTAATTTTTTCGAAAGACATTGCAAAAAATGTTTTTTTTCAACTTTCAACGCTTCGTTTATCTAGGAAATTTCAAGGTACGAAAAACTTTCAGTGAGAAAGTTTTTTATTACGATACGGACAAGTTTTCTCTAAAATTTTATTAAAATGATATGGATATTTACAAAGTTATTAATGTTTAAAGCATATGGTACGTCAGATTTCTCGCGCCTGAAACGCATTGAGTCCCAAATTGTTCGTTTGCAACGCGTTAAAAATATTTTGTTAATATATATAATAAAATTTATTGAAATTTATTTTTAACCTAAATATTTTATTTTGTTATATGTACAAAAGTCAACTAAAATAATATTTCTTATTTTTAAGTTTCTTGTTTCATTTAGTTCAAGGTTTCCACTCTTCGTCAAAATGATCTCGTTTACTACATTTAATGTTTTTAAAATAATTATTAAAAAACTCCTGTCCGTTTGGAGGAAGATATCGATTTCCTTAATTGTGATAAAAAAATCTCGAAATCCTGGGAAAATTGTATTGGGTTTTACCGAACCCTTTTTTTTGCAGTCAACGGTCGCGGCAACCGCGACTCATCTGGACACCATATTTTTCCGTAGAGTGAAAACAAATGACAACTTTGAGAAAAATAGCATATAAAAAAGGGTTACTTCCTTGAAGTGCACATGATAACAAAAAAAAATCTATTGTATGAAAATGTTTGCCAAAATACAGATATAAATAAAATAAAATTTGTTTTAACTTCAAGTATTAAATACAATATGGAATTATTGTACAATTTATTTTGCGAATAATTCTGCAATATTTTTTTAAAAATAATTTCATATATCTTTACGTACAATACATGTTAGAATAAATAAACTGATGCTACTGTTATATAAAGTTAGATGAATCGTCATAATCCATAGTTAAATATTATTTAAAAATAATTACTTTGATATTAAAAAACCAGTCAAAAATTAAAATAATAATATTTTTACTATTCTTAATAAACTTTTATTAGTTAAATTAACATTACATTTATGTCAAAATAACTGTGTACTAATTATTTGTATGTCAGTAAATTTTAACTATTTCCAGACGATTTTGGCTAATTATTATTGGTTACTTCTTAATAATAATAATATTGCAAAAATTTATCAGTGACTTTAATAAAAATTTTATTTATTTTAAGTAAACAAATGAATAAACTAAAATAGTCTTAATATGTTCCATGCAAACGAACAATTCGGTACTCAATGCGTTCCAGGCGCAAGAAATCTGACGCACCATACGCTTTAAACATTAATAACTTTGTAAATATCCATATCATTTTAATAAAATTTTAGAGAAAACTTGTCCGTATCGTAATAAAAAACTTTCTCACTGAAAGTTTTTCGTACCTTGAAATTTCCTAGATAAACGAAGCGTTGAAAGTTGAAAAAAAACATTTTTTGCAATGTCTTTCGAAAAAATTAATAAACTTTTTATTAATTAAGATTTTGAAGTTTTAAAAATATAGTTGGTTTCAGGAAACCTTAATCTGTGAGTTTGTTTTTGTTTGATTACAAAATATGAAAAATCAAAAACACCAGCACGAGTTAAAGACGTAAAACATTTAAATTTTTTGGTTTTCAAAAATTTAGTTTTTTCTCATTATTTTATAAACTAAAAAAGATATAAATTTATTTCTTAAAGAAAAAAGATGCGCATTTTCATTGTGTATAAATTTATTTCATTGAATTTGAAAATTGAAAATGTTTTAAAATCACACTATTCGTCAATACTTATACGTGAGAATCCACGCGTATCCCCTTTTAGAAGCCGTCCCCTCAATTGTATTCCTCAATAAATACATTTTTCTTTCAATTGAAATTAAATTTAAAAAAATATCTTCGTTTACGATTTAAATTTGAAAATAAAAGAAACCTTTTTGTTAAGAATTTAAAAAATTGGTATGAAAAAAAATAAAAAAACAAGAGAAAAAAATGAAATTTGAAAAAAAGAAATGTTTGTAAATACCTAGAGACTAAGTGATGTTTCTGGACTGGAAAACCAGAATCTACGACATCATTTTCATTACTGGATAAAACTTTTTTCTCCTTGACAAATTGTCGAGATGGAATAAGTAACTGACCATAAGATATTTCCTGCAAATTCGAAAGCGAAATTAAAAATATAAATATTCGATAACATTTAACTATCAAATTAATTATTGTAAATTAATTACCTGTCCGTCTTTTGCCCTCTCAATTCCCAGTAAGCCATATGTATCTAGGTTATCATTAATAGCCGATAAGGGCCTCGAGCCAATCGTATTTTTCCTCCTTCCTGCGTCTTTTCGCAATTCCGACCTGAAAAATACGAATTTAATCTCAATAATGAAAATAAAATTTACAAAAGCAAAAATTGAAACAAAACAATTCAAAATAAGTTTGCATAAAAATATCAAACAAGAAAATTCCTGCAAAATCGTTGATATAAGCCCACAATAAAATTAAAAATATATTGCAGTGAAATTTGCAAAATAAAAAAAGAGAAAAATTTAGATTGGAAAATTTTCCCAAAAAAACGAGCGGAATATTTCCAAAATGGAAAGCAATGAAAATTTAAAAACTACACTAATCAGCGTGTCATCGGTGAATAGTGAAAAAAATTCTCTTTAAAAAATATGTGATATCCAGTGTGCGACAAGAGAATTTCTACAAATTAACGATTGAATACCTTTTCAAAATTGGATTATTCACTGCGAAGCTTTTGAAGACAGGTGAATTACCCCTTTCAATTTGCCAGCTAACAATATAGTAATCGAATGTCATTCGTTAAAGTGAAAAATAAATCAAAATTTAGAAAAAAATAAATTGCAGCGAAAAGAAAATTTTATGCGTTTGGTTAAATAAAATTCCAATAAAAAAATCAGTTCTTTAATTTCATTTTCTTTACGAATTGAAATTTATTTGTTTTTAAAAAATGACAGTAGTTCAACATAAATAGTACTTTAAATAAAAAATACTTTGAAAAATAAGAAAAATACTTTGAAAAGTAAAAAAAATACTTTGAAAAAAACAGTACTTTGAAAAGTAAAAAGAAAAAAATAATTTCTCGTGTGTAGAAATCGAAGAATCGCACTTACCAACTGGTTCGTTGACCTTTATTGTATGGAATTGCGGAAAATACGAGAAATGGAACTCTTTTCGCTGAAACAAGAATAAGACGATCGTCTCGAAATTTTTGATTTGAAATTGGACGTTGCATTAAACGTAATTCCTTAGTGACTTCCGGTATCATTTCACTGTTCAGGCATCCCGATTGTAAACTATTGAACGTCTTGGCTTTTGATTTAGTAACGAGAGAAGCTGATTTCGATCGTACGGAGCCAATACTTTCATTGCTGCTGTTGTAATGATGTTTTATGTCTTCCGATAATGTTGAAGTTTGATGTGTTATCCGCTTCTTATAATGAAGCGATCCAACTCGCCTTTCTGGTAGTGAATATTCACTGCCAGCAGTTCCAGCTCTGAAACATTATTTTCATTTCAATTATTACAATTCGTATCGTATACGATTTACAAAATTTCAATTATTATAATTGAACCGCCGGATCGTAGAAGGGCATATAGCCAATGTAATTCAAATGGGCTATATGCCCTTCTACGATCCGGCGGTTCAATTCGTATCGTATACGATTTACAAAATGTACAATTTAAAATTTACTATTTTCAATTTTGAATTTACAATTTTACTATTTTCAATTTTTAATTTACAATTTTACTATTTTCAATTTTTAATTTACAATTTACAATTTACAATTTTCAATTTTTAATTTACAATTTACAATTTACGAAAAAGAACTATTTCAAACACGAACATTAATTACTTATACAATAATTGGTAATTAATTAATCATTAATAATTAGTTTTTCCTTCTTACAATTAAAAAAGTAAAATTCGTATTTATCGTTAAAATGAAATTTTATCTGCAACTTTATCAATGCTAATATCAGACTTAATATAAAACGTTATCATCAATTGTCAGACACAATAAAAAATTTGATTAATTATTATCTACTAAATGAAAGTAAACTAAAAAAATAAAATTCTTTTTGTGTATTTAATAATAAAGTGTGTGTGTGCAAAACAAGAGAATAAAGAAAAGTTAATCAATAGGTTTTAACGATAAACATTTTCCCTCTGGCTAAACTCAGAATTTAAATTTATATATAAAAATGGAAAATTCATTATTATAGTATAATAAACAAAATAAATAAATAAGTGGATTTTTTTAATTTTAAAAGATTGACTGTTATAATTTTTAAAATCTGAAATAATAAATTATTTCAGATTTTCGAAAATATAAACAAAAAAATTTAAATTAAACAAAATTAAATAAAAAATAAATAAAAATTAAATATAAAAAAACTAAAATTAATTTTTTTATTATATAAGAAATAATGAATTTAATAATGAATTTTACATTTTTAAATATAAATTAAAATTCTGAAAACTCTTGCAAAGAATTTTATTTACATTTTTCAAAAAAATGAATTATTTCGAAGAATTTTATTAAAAGCTTTTGAAAATAATTAAATTCTTCTAAAGAATTTTCTCAATATTTTTGTTAAATAATTGAATTCAAAGAATCCGAAGAATTTTATATAATCTACGAAAATAATTCAATTGTTAGGAAAAATTTTATTAAAATTCTTGAGAAAATAATTAAATTATTACGAAAATTTTATTAAAATTCTTGAAAAAAATTTAATTGTTACGAAAAATTGTATTAAAATTTTTGAAAATAATTCAATTCTTTCAAGAAATTTAATTAAAAATGTACTGAAAATAATTAAAGTCTAATAAACAAATTTTACCAAGATTTTAGAAAATAATTGAATTTTGTGAAAATTCTATTAAAAAAATAATTGAATTCCTGTGAAACACTTTATTATTTGCAAACATAATTGAATTTTTACCTAGAATTATATTAAAATTTTCGAAATTAATTGAATTCTTTCGAAAAAAATAAAAATACTTTCAAGAAATTTAGTTGAAATTGTATTGATAAAAATGTGATTTTTTTTAAAGAATTGTATCAATAATTTTGAAAATAATTCAAAAATATTTGCTAGTAAATAAAATAAATATTCTAAAAATTCAAATAAATAATTGAAAAAATATAAAAGAAATAAATATTAACGAAAATACTTATCAACTAAATTAATTATTCTATATATAAAATTTTTTAATAAACATTACGCAATATTTTCGAATGTGTTATTAAAAAAATAAAAACTCTAAATCAACACTCTTACATCATGTGAACTTTTTGTTTTTAGTTCATACATAACATTCGAGCTTAAAACCAATTAATGTAATGTAATATGACTTCACTCTTCATTAGATTCTAACAGTATCAATTAGAAGGTTCGACAAACAAACTAAAACATTTTAAAAATGAAAATTCATACAATTTCCATTTTTTTTCTTTTTCTTGCGAAAAATTTGTTAGCGCCAAACAAAAAAATGAACCAGACAAAAAGAAATTAAATAATAAAAGCAATAAATAGTAAATGAAGAAAGAAATTTAGTAAATAAATAATTAAAAAATTTGCGCAAAATAATTTTAACATCGAGAAAAGAAAGGAAAAATAAAAGTAGAGTATAGAGTAAATAACAAATCAATAAAAAAAATACTAAATGAAGAATAAAGTTATTAATTTTGCGCGAAAAGAATTTAGCACAAAAACAAAAAAATACAATACTAAAAGCAATATAGAGTAAATAAATAAAGAAATAGTGAATAATTAATAGTGTTAATAACTTTCGCGAAGAAATGTTAACATCGAACAAAGAAATTAAATGAAAATAATAAAATTAGAGTAAATCCGGAGTAAATAATAAAAAAATAAATAAATACTAAATAATAAAAATAAAGTAAATCCGGAGTGAATAATAAACAAATAAATAAACACTAAATAAGTAATATTAATAGAGTAAATAAATAAAGAAATAGTGAATAAATAATACCACTAATAATTTTCGCTAAGAAATATTAACATCGAACAAAAAAATATAAACAATAAAAGTAGAGTATATCTGGAGTAAATAATAAATAATAGTATTAATAGAGGAAGTATTTAGTGACTAAAATCAAGTTTGTCTGATTTTGTTCGACAAAAACAAAAATAGTCAAGTGACCTTCTTATCAGGTCTACGACGACTGACTTGACCAGTTTTGTTGATATACACAAAATAGAATTGTTGAAGGTCGAAAGAAATTGCTTTCATGGTCACAAAAAAAGTGAACTCACTTGACCTCTCAATCTTTTTATGAATTAAGAAAGTAAATTATTAACTCTACAATAGAAATGAACTATTTGAAAATTATATTTTGGACTAAATCCAAAAATAAATTTTTTTGCCGAATTTCGAGAATGTGGGAATTTATAGGCCAAACACGAGTTTTAAAATTGATTAGTTGTGCGGCTATTTAAAAGGAGGTTGAAAATCAATATTTATATTAGAGCGAGATATTTGGAGAGTAAATTTTGAAGGAATTTGTGAGTAAATCGAGGTAAATATTGTAGGAAATGATCTTACCGTTCCCTGAAGGAACTATAAGCTCCAGGTGACAATTGTGGATGATTTCTTTCATTTTCAATGAAATTGTTGACAGCAACTTTAGCTGGTGTAAGAACTGTTGAATCTCCTAAGCAACGATCGACTCCCTTTAATGGTGATCCAATTTGTTGAACACCATTTGTTTTTGAATTATTTAAAACATCCTCCTTTCCATTATTGCCATCGACATTTTCTTTTATTGAATTATTTATTGTTGTTTCCTGTAGTGCTCCTTGATAAATAACTCCGTTTCTTGGTAGTAATGCTAACTTGGTGTCTCGATGGCTCCCATCCAATGAGATATTGGACAGGAATGTCACAGCGGCTAATCTTCTTCGAGAGTGATTCTTTTTTAGGGCTGCTGCCATTCCACGTTAAACGGACAAGAACTTTTTTTCCCTTTTTTTTTTTGATAATCAACAATAGAGATAGAGAGACAGAGAGAGAGAAAGAAATAAGAAAACGAAAAACCGACACTAAATTTTCCTTTTAAAAAGAAGAATAAATAAATAAGAAAAATTCATCACAAATCCTCTTCACTAATTATCACGTACTTAGTCCTAGTGAACGTCATTGTTGAACTTGGCAAGCCAAATACAGTGACTGTATAAGCGAGCATGTTCGATAATCTATTAACGCACTTGATTTTTTTTCCCAAAACAAAACTACTCACTTGCTGCTTCTTCCCTTTTTTGATGAGAGTTTTAACACGCAGCAAAACTTGTTATCACTACGGTCGACGTCTTGTCTCTGGACACGTCTGTGAATTCTCCTCTTGGTCAATGTATATACTCGCACACACATGTCAATTGTATTGCACACATGTTGAAATTATGTACGTATTAGAAAATATACGTGGGGCTCAAATCATATTACGCAGCTGACACTGTTTTCAAAAATTCCTCGTTCCTTTTATTTATTCCATTTATTCTTATTCCATCTGCTTATAAATACTCCGATCGAGCATTATTTTTATATGTCATCTCTTCATTCAATAATTATTATCTCCGTAATTATTTCCATTATTTTTTTAAAAAAATATTCTTCTAAAATATAATAATTTTTGTAGCTGAAGGTTAGAATCTCGAGAATTTGTGCTGCCAAGCCGAACATTGAAAATTCCCTGTGATTTCCTGGAAAAAAAATGTTTATGTATTAATTATTTTATTTACCATTATTATATTTTTTGGTAAAAATAACACAATTTTCGACATATTTTGAAATTGAATATTTGAAAACTTTTAAAGAATAGACAGAGAAATGAATAATAATTTTAATTTGAAAATTGGAAATATTTTAAAGAGAATGTGTCACGTGATGATCACGTGCGCGAGGGATGAAAGTATTTGATTTGCGGATGAATCACGCGCGCTTTTCTAGTAAAGTTTTTTAAATTCAAAATTGTTTGGTAAAATTTCCTTTTTATTCGCGAAAAAGTTAGAGAAAAACTATTTCCAAATACTTTTTACTACTTGAGAATATTTTTGAAAATTCAAAAATTTATTAATTCTTTCGAATATTTTCTTAAATGGAATTTTTGGTTTAACTGTATTTTCATTTTGCAGAATTTACAATTAATGAATTTTCATTGCAGAGAATATTCATTAGACAGAATTTTTAAAAAAAGAAAATTTTCAATAGACTTTTTATTACACGGAATTTTTATTTAGATATGAATTTTCATTCAACGAAATTATCATTTAACGGAGGATTTTTATTAAGTAGAATTTTTATAAAAAGTAACATTTTCATTGGAATTGTTAAATAATTTAATTATTTTCAAAAAATTTATATAATTTGTTGACAAGAATTAAAATATTTTCAAAATAATACAAATTCTTTATAAAAATTCAATTATTTTCAAAAATAATAAATTTCTTGTCAGGAATTCAATTATTTTTAGAAATTTTAACAAATTTCTTTTTGGTAATTCAATTATTTTCATAAATAATAAAATTCATCGAAGAAATTCAATTATTTTTAGAAATTTTAATTAAATTCTTTATAAAAATTAAAATTAACTTCTTATCAGGAATTCAATTATTTTTAGAAATTTTAACAAATTCTTTCTTAGTAATTCAATTATTTTCATAAATAATAAAATTCATTAAAGAAATTCAATTATTTTTAGAAATATTATTTAAATTCTTTATAAAAATTCAATTATTTTCATAAATAATAAAATTCATCGAAGAAATTCAATTATTTTTAGAAATTTTAATTAAATTCTTTATAAAAATTAAAATTAACTTCTTATCAGGAATTCAATTATTTTTAGAAATTTTAACAAATTCCTTCTTAGTAATTCAATTATTTTCATAATTAATAAAATATATCGAAGAAATTCAATTATTTTTAGAAATATTATTTAAATTCTTTATAAAAATTCAATTATTTTCATAAATAATAAAATTTATCGAAGAAATTCAATTATTTTTTAGAAATTTTAACAAAGTTCTGTATAGTAATTGAATTGTTTTCATAAAATTTTTTAGAAAACTCTTTATAAGAATTCAATTATATTTATAAAAATTGTAAATAAATTCCTAGAAAGAAGTTTATTATTTTTAAAAAATTCGATTTAATAAAATATTTACCAGAAATAAAACAATTCAAATTTAAAAAAAACAATTCAACGTAATAAAATTTTTGTTTAATAATTTCCGTTAATTATAGATATGTATTCTTGATTACACTATCATTAGAAAATAATTTTTTTTATTTTACAAAATAACAAAGAATATTTGTAATTGACAAAATAGAATTTTTGCTAAATAAAATTTCTTTTAAATATAGAAGTTCTAGATTCTTTCTACGAAATAAAAATTTATTTATCTTATTTGATTGCAAATTCAATTCTTTCAAGGAATTCATCTACAATTATATTAAAAATAACTGTATAATCTTGAAAAAAATTTCATTATATAACTTAGGAAAATAATTGTGTTCTTGTAATGATAATTTTATGAAAATTTTTTTTAAATAATTGAATTCTTCTGAAAATTATTATTATTTATGAACATAATTTGTATTCTTTCGAGGAAAATAATTACAATTTTAATGAAAATAATTTAATTTCTGCAAGGTATTCTATTATTTGTGAAAAAATAATTGAATTTTTCCTAAGAATGTTATTACTTTTTTTTTAATAATTGAATTGTTTTGAGAAATTTTATCAAAATAATAGAAATTGAAAATAATTGAAATTGAGCGAAGAATTTTATCATTTGTAAAAATAATTTAATTCATGCAAAAAATTTTCTTAAAATTTTTGAAGATAATTCAATTTTAGCTAAGAATTTGCATTAAAATTTTTTGAATTGTTTTCTAAAAATTTTATTACAATTTTTTAGAGTAATTTTGTTATTTCAATAATTAGGGAATTAAAAGTAGTGCAAATTCTCAAGTAACTTAAATTTAAGTTAAAATTTAAAGTTTATTTGAGAATTTGCACTACTTATTTAATCCCCTAATAATTAAATTAAAAAAATTACTCTCAAAAATTTGAATACAAATTCTCAAATATAAATTAAATTAAATTTATTTGGGATTTTGCACTACTTTTAATCCCCTAATAATTGAAATAAAAAAATTATTATCAAAAATTTTAATACAAATTCGAGAATTTGAAATTCGATCGGAATAATTGACAAATTTTTATTCTGTTCCTCATTGAAGTATATAACTATATATCTGCTTTGAAGGAGACTATAATCAACAAGTTGACAATTGAATTAAAATCAGTTGAATAAGGCGAGATGAACTACTACAGACTTTTCACATGTGTGTCTGATATGATATTCGTGCCTGAAACGTTAGTCGCGAGCCATTAAGCCGCTGCACGCCATATCCCCAGTGTGTTACGATTCCCTCCATCAGGATATATGCGCGAATATATACAGCCAGATTTAAATACATGTATACATGTAAATTTAAGCGCACACTTGGCAAACATTCACGCATGTCAATGCAGAATGGCGTTATATCGTTATATGCACGTTGACGTTCACGATTCACGTACATATGCCACTTTCTTAAGTATAAAGGTATGGACATATAAATAGCAATCTGGCAGCTTTATATTACGTGCTAAACGAAGCCTCGCCCTTCCCAACAATCCGCAAAAACACGGTAAAATGATCTCTCATCCCCAAGAGAAGATTCATACACAACTCCGCATAATATATTATTATAAATGCGCTTATGCCCCGCATAAGAAGAATTTTGCGTATTCATCAATGAATTTTAATTCAGGAATTTTAATTTCCAGATACTTCCAAAGAAAGTTTCACCTTTCACCTAAAAGGAAAAATTATTTTTAATACTAAATATTTCTAACTGACAAGTTGTTTAACATGGTAATTTTTAAATCACTTCGATTTTTACAAGAATTGAATAAAAAATACATCTCTGATGCCAAATTATTTACTTTCCTATTGTTAACATGAGCAATAACTTCAATTTTTACAAGTATTGAATAAAAAATACATTTCTAACTGATGCCAAATTATTTACTTTTCTATTGTTAACATGAACATTCACTTCAATTTTTACAAGAATTGAATAAAAAATATATTAAAAAAAAAATTTGCATATTTTCATAGGCTTTGTACTCGATAATTAATTTGAACAAAGAAGCAAAAAGTAGGTATGTAATAAAAATAAAAAAAATAAAAAAAGCTATTGAAAAATAAAATACTAAAAAAACACTTTACTTTTTTATCCTATATAATATATAGTAATAACTTCAATAAAATTTCGAAAATTGAATTTTTTTTCTTAAATAAATATTTAAATACTTATTTTCATTTATTTTTCCACCAGGAATTAGAATTTTAAATAATTTCAATGTAAAATTTATAACTATTTATTTAATTGAACTATTTTTATATTTAACTCTAATTTAACTATTCCTACAAAAATTACAACATGTATTCTCTTTTTAGTATTCAATTATTATTTTTACAGTTTTTAAATTAAATTATTCAAAACTTTGATAATTCTTTAGAAAAATAGTTCAATTTGAAAATTTATTGGAATTTAATTATATTTCTACAAAATTTCATAATTCAATAACGCTCCTCATATTCAATTATTATCTAAAATTTTAACTAAAATTCATTTTTATAAATCAATTCTCAAAGTTCAAATTCTCAATTACAAAGTTCTACAAGAATTCAATTATTTAAAAACTAAAATAAATAATTCATAGAATTATTTCCTAAAATTGAATTCTTATAAAGAAAATGAAAATCTTATGAAAATCTTTGAAAATAATTGATTTTTTTCGAAGTATTTTATGAAATAAATAAAAAAATAAGAAATAATAAAATAATGATTAAAAAAATTTAAACATAATTTTATTTTTCGGGAATATTATTTAAAATTTATATTAAAAATAACTGAAATTCTGCTGAGAGGAATTTTATTATTTATGAAAATAATTTAATTCTCGTAACGAATTTTATTAAAATTCTTCTTAATTAAGTAATAATTGAATTCCCTTGAAAATTTTTATTGTTTGTGAAAATAATTGAATTCTTACGAGGAATTCATTTAAAATTGTATAATAAAAAATAATTGAAATCCTCCCAAACAATTTTATTATTTATGAAAATAATTGAATTTTTGCTAAGAATGTTATTAATTTGTTTTTTAAATATTTATTGAATTTTTATGAGAAATTTTATTAAGATGTAGATATTGAAAATAATTGAAATTCAGTGAAAAGTTTTATTATTTATGAAAGTAATTGAATTCTTGTAACGAATTTTATTAATTTTTTTAAAAGTAATTGAATTCTTTTGAGAAATTCATTTAAAATTGTATAAAAAATAATTTAAATCCCTTAAAGAATTTTATTATTTATGGAAATTGAATTTTTGTTGAGAATATGTTATGAACTTTTTTTTAAATATTTATTTATT